GGGGGGGGGTATTGTTTTTTTCCAAACGGGAAAAGCTCCGAGTCAGATTTAAAGGAGGTGGTCACGTGTGACGAAACATGAGCGATTTGTAGGTACGTCCGAATGGATAAGAGAGGCACACGAAAGGCCGCGCGCCGCGAACAGCGAGGAGGCGAAGGTCCTTTTTCTCTCGGGTTCGCGCGCGCGTTTCTGACTGAGCCCACCGGAGTGTCGTGCGGCAGCCGCCGCTGAAAGTGCAGACCGACGGCGACGGCCAACGCTCCGCGCTTCTTGTCTGCGGGTGCGTGCACTTATATAGGTGGTGATCTGTGAAAAAATAACTTTTTTTTTTCCACCCCCTCCCCCAAATAAAAAGAGGAATAGTCGCAACAGAGATTGTTTTTTTCTCCCCTTCGATCGAATCGTAGCTCAAGTGAAGGAGCGCCACCACGAGTGCGAGGGGAGATTTTTTTTTCATTTCATTTCAACCTAGTTTGATGAGTCGAGAAGTACTGAGAAGTTCTGAGCATATGTAGAATAAAAAGTTGTTATCGGATAATTAGGTACATTTATTTTATTTTTTTTTTTTTTTTCGCTTACCCCAAACAGTTTGTACCTAAGGAAAAACATTTATTAGCACTTTAAACTTTAAAAGTCTCATTTTTTTTTTTCCACGCGTAACATTTCAAGTTGACGTTTAAGATCTATATGTATTGTTTTTTTTTTTTTTTTTTTTTTCATCTGGGTGACAATTAATTTAACGGTACATTAAGTTTTTATTCAGATCCATTTGTTATATGTATACAGCCGAGCTCCTTGGGATCCAATCAAAATGTTTGTCCACGAAGCAGTATGTGATTAAAGGCGCTCGAAATCAATGCAAATTCGATCGAGCTTTGGTGGGGTAAGAAAATGACGATAAAAAGCTACTTGTGCTCTATCAAAATCGTTGAAAAAAAAAAAAAAAAAAATCACCATGGATCATAATTTTCCACCTAATCTTTCGTTTCCTCCTAACTCGTGATTTTTCAAAGATTTCTACGTGTATGTACTCACAATAGCAACGCTCGGCGCCTTTAAAGGGGGGGGGTGGGGGTGGCGGAGAGGAGGCGCAGGAGAGGGTAAAGGGGCCCCCTGAAAGAGCTCTCTCTGCCTCTACCATTATACACCATACGTAATAATACAAGAAGGGAAAGTCCGAGAGGTATGTATATATATATACACTTGCACTTTTCAGCGTGTATATATATATATTATATACGTACCCGGGAGAGGAGCTCTCTTGAGAGTCTTGATGCTTTTTGGAACTTTTATCACAGGCCAAAGACTCGACGATCCTGCTACCACTACGTGGGGGTACTTGTAATGGTTTGGCACGAACATCTTTGACTTTTTGACCTGGCTGGGATCGATGAAAAAGGTGCGTTGAACCTTTTTTTTTTTTTTTTTTTTTTTTTCCACATCGACTGCAATTTTTACCCTCATTTCTCAAAGTATGCATGGTGTTATTGTCTCGACGAGGCAACAAAAAACTAACGAATCGGCACGATCTCTCAATTGATGATAATTTTGAATTTTCAACTAAACTCTTCTGGTTGGTGTTTTATTTATTACATTATTATTAAAATATTGTCGTAATGGAATAAAAGACAACTGTTCAATGATTCTTTTTTTTTCTCTCTCTCCATAATTCGAATGCAAATTAACCGATTTTAATAGTGTAAGGTATAAAATGAAAGGTTTTTTCATGAGGAATTTGATGGATTCAAGAAATTCTGGTCTGAGTGGAAAATCCGGGTTTTTTTTTTATGTTATGGCTGTATGTATGAAAATAATCACGAAAATCAAAGGAAACCGCGTAGATATTGCGTATACACGAAATCAGCTGCTCTTGGAAAACAAAAAAGAACAAACAAAAAAACTTGAAGCCTCGAATCGTTGCATCGAATCAAGGGAATATTTTCCACCGTAAAACACATTTTAGCAAAATTTTCTTACACGTAATTTCCATGGAATAGATAGTCCTGAAGAAAAAAAAGAAAAAAAAAAAAAAAAAAAGTTACCAAAGTAATATACATATACACACACGCTTGAGTAAGTAAATTGTTGTCGCAATCGGGGTGCACGTGAAGCAAGCAAATCACGCTTTTGCGGCGAATCGGAGTAGAAAGTCATCTCAAGCTTTGTTGGAATTGTTATTGGGTCGGCCGAAAAAAGAAGGAGTTCACCTCAAATATGTATGTACTTATACTTGCTTGCTTACTTTCACTTTTCGAGACGCTTAGAGAGAGAATCGAGTGAACGAACTTACTATTGGATAGGTACAGTCATTTATATCTTTTTACTCTCAATAGTAAAAATACATAGAGGTAAGTTCATTGGTCGCGTGGGGTACAGTAAAATCGATTAATTCGGCTTTTGATACATGGACGCGTATACCTACAAGCAAATCACCGACCACCGATCCTTCGTTATTACAAACAAATAAACGAAAGCGAACATATATGCAGTTCATTCGACTTACATTGAAATAATAGAGCTCCTATCTTTCACTCACTAATTGTTTACGCTACGGGTTTACACGTTGGTATACACGCTGTAAAGTTGAAAATAGAAAATTCAAAAGTAAGTACTTGAGTTAACGCATGAGAGACGATACTTACATTGCCAGATGAAGCGCGTTTATAGGAGCTCGCTACACCAGCTGTTATATTTATTAAGTACCGGGCGTATGGCCGAGCGCGCGTCTCTGAAATCGTAGAAGATCGATGAAGCCCTTTTTTTTTCTTTCAAGTAGCTCCAAATTATAACAGATGATGCGTGTGCTGGTTTATTTGAAGTATGCAGTTGTATTGACAGTTTTGTGACTTTTTTTTTTTTCACCTTTACGCCTATCGTAGTTTCGTATCAACGACTAGTAATTTTGATAGAATTGCGGAAGTTTTCGTGAATTCGTGAAATTGAATTAAATTGAAATATTGAAAAAATATCAAGCTTTTTTAACAAATTGACATATACATCGGGAAATGAACAAGGAGAACGATTATATAATTACACAATCATTTGTACCATTTGAAATCCACGGACTTGTTTCGCGCGCAAATTTGCACAAAGAGGTTGTCTGCTATTGTTCAATATGTCTGCGCCCATTGATGTAAACATAGTTTCTTGATGCATGACGGAATCGAGAGCGTGTGTTTTGAGGTTACTTGTCAGAGCAGGAGCGAGGATTAATTTTAGATTTGTTATTAAATAAAAGTGCCTATCTGTTTAACTTACAATATTAACAGCATGCCGTTGATAATAATGACTGGAATACCGAGCAGTGGAAAAACAACGAGAACGAAGGAGCTGAGAGAATTTTTCGAAACCAAAAAGGGTAAAAAAGTGGAAATTATCGACGAAGAAGAAATGATAAAAAAAGCAATGTTCGATAAAAATAGCTATTTTGCGGGCAAGTCTGTTGGCTATTCTTCAACAAACCTCGAGGAAGCGTTGATACATTTTTGTTTAATTTTTTAATGATTTTACCATTCACAGATTCAGTAAAAGAAAAATTGATTCGTGGTGACATCAAATCTAACGTTCAGAGACTTATATCTCCAACTGATATTTTGATCATTGACGGTAGTAATTACATAAAGGGTTACAGGTATGAACTTTACTGCACGAGCAAACAGTATAAAATAACCCAGTGCACGGTGCAATGTGACTCGCCTGTAGAATACGCTTGGTTGTGCAACGAGAAAAGGCCTGACTGTGAACAATATTCCAGAGAAATATTTGATGGTCTGGTTCTCAGGTAAATATCATGGATCAGAAGCATTTTAAGAAATTTTAAGTACTTGAGTGTTTTGGTTACGTGTTGATAACAGGTATGAAGCTCCAAATGGTCAAAATCGTTGGGATTCGCCATTGTTCATTATCAATCCAGAAGATGAATTGCAATACGAAGAAATTTACGCTTCTCTGTACAAAGTTAAAGCTCCAAAGCCAAACATGAGCACGCAGTCTGTAAGTTAATTTAATACACTGAATTATACTAATAGATCCTTTACTGTACCTTTTTAATCGAATTACTTTTCAGCAACGATTATCAGCTTCAAATTATTTATATGACATGGATAGGATAACTCAAGAAATCGTTAATGTAAGTTTTAAAAATCAATAACTATCGACTTTCATGAAAAACTAACAACTCTAATTTGACAGGAAATAGTATCAGCCAAACAGTTGGGAATCGAAAGTAACATAAAAATTCCAAAATATAATGTTGTGCTCGAAAGTTCAGGAGGTATATCTGAGTTAACGAGATTAAGGAGACAGTTTTTAACTTATAGTAAGATGCAACAAACGGAGACTGATAAAATACCTTCATTATTTATACAGTATCTAAATAAAAGTTTATAAAATACATTTATAAGAACCACAGCGTCACTGATATTTTTATTCAACCTAAAAAAAAAAAAAAAAAAATAGGTGGGTATGAATAAAAAGCTCTCATAATTTTGAATATAAAATTATATTATCCTGTTATAACTATTCTACTATTCTAAGTAATTTATCAATATACCAAACTAATTATTGCGCGCAAACTGCAGATCCTACTCGATCATTTAAAACTTTTCATCAAAAGCTCAACATGATTACCTTTCCATTTTTTAATGAAAAAAAGCATTTCGATTTAACATCCAAAACATGTGTGAAAAGCTACTCTTTTCAAATTCGTTTTAATACCGCAGTTCGACTCAACTATAACAGCCGTTGTAATTAACCCTCACATAACTGTTTCAAATTACATTTTTCTTATGCAAAATTGTAAACAGAACAAATATTTCTTTCCTACTGACAGAGATGAAAAAAATATTTGCAAAAGTGGGAACATATAAAAAGGCACTACTTACAAAAATGCATCATCGATCACAAATCCAAAATTTTTTAAACTCATCCTCCAGTTATTGGAAATACTCAAGTTCATGTATTTCGGTTTTTCGAGGAATCCATATCTGATAAGATCTTAGTTTATACTTTGAATTCATAATTGACTTGCATACTTATCGCATTTTTTCATTCGTTATAAATACTTTTTCAATCAGCATGTATCTATATCACGCTTAAGCGCGGATATGTTTAGTTCTTTTTGTTTAACCACATATGAATACTTTGATTAAGTTTTTATGAACGCTGCATTGGGCATCAAACGTAGTTTTATTTTTTTGGATCGATAATGCAGATGTTAAAAACAATGATTAAGCTAAATCACATGTCGGGCTCAAGGAAAATATCAAGCGCTAATTTTTTTAGTTCAATTTGTACTTTAGACGATTTCTACGTTGAATCACGTATTGAGAGATGATAATTTGAGAAAATGAGATTTCTTAAACAATATGTAACTCTTTTCATTTAACAATTTCCGTTAAATTTTAATAACTCGAGTCTTTTATATGCATACATTTTTTTCCAATTACATAATGAAACTCACTTAAAAACCTGTTCAACATTCTTCAATAGATATTTTTCTACTGAAATTAATTACCAGCGGAATCAATTGAAAATATCACAGAGGACTCAAGTGACTGACAAAGAGTTAAATAATAATAATAGTTATCAAAGTAAATTGGACCAAAAAGGACGCAGTCATACTATCAAAGTTGTAATGTCGAAAAGTAAGAGACACATATCCGTCAAATTTTTTTAACAAATGTACATGTAACCGAGCGTTTAGTTAGAATCTTGCTCCTCTCTACAAATTCCGTTAGTGTCTACGCCATTTTGGCTCATAGGTTCACCATCTGGCCTCTGAGGCTTTTTACAAACAAAATACACGCTGTTGTACTCGTACTGTAGCATACTGTTAACATTCTGGGCGTATCTAGTTTTCACGTGTGTCTCTTCTTTCTGCAATACAATAAGTGTTTTTAAAACATATTTCACGAACAATAAACGTCTATATGTACACATAAAGATATATATGTATACATAGCACAAAAGCTTAATAATACAAACTTCTATTTGAAATCCAAAGCCTTTGATTACATCAAGGACGTCGCTATGACTTGGCTCAATAGAATCTTCCATTGGCATATCACTAAAGTGATATAAAAGTGGGCCCAAATTGATCCATGTCCCGCCTGGCTTCAATATTTTGTAAATGGTTTCGATGAATTGCACTATGTTGTTGGCACAATCAATGAAAAAGCATGTGGCCACGCAATCCCAGTGTTCTTCTTCCGTGTATACCTTTTTTAGTCAATTAAATACGTTATGATTTAATTGCAAGATATGTTTACTATCACATTTTTATTTTTTCCCCCTTAAAACTATTATTTTATTCAAAAGAGTTTTTCACTTGTTTGCTGCAACAGACAATAAATTACCTCAAGAAAATCACCAGCTGCCATGGAAAATTGCGCGTTTTCTGGACGATCACTCGGATTCACGTCAGGAAAGTAAACTGCTTGAGTTTGATGCTCTGGTCGTAAATTGTTCATGTACTGGTGAACCCAAGGGTGAACTTTGTACGAGTTGACCCCCCGGCATCTGAAAGTAAAGTGGTAGAGTAAAATTATTTTTCGAATTGTTGATCATATGTAGAAGTACATTTAAATAATCTCCGCGTAGTTACAATTGAAAAATTTGACAAAAGAAGTAGGCTTGCAAGTCAGACGTTTGTTTACACAAGTAGTAAATACAATTTATAACCTTTTCTTGAAAAACAAAAGTTTGTCTAAAATAAATTATGTGATACTAATAACAAAGCTAGTTGTATTTAGATGAACTTTAAAAATTTCTTATGAATTTATTAAAGTAACGTCTATTAGAGGGGTAAGCTTACTTGTTTAGCACAAAGTGTGAAGCAAATAGCATAAATAACGAAAACTCGTTTCCTTGGCACGTATAGCCTCTCCTTGCAATCTCATAGGCAAGTCTGCCAAGCCCCGCTCCAGGCACAAGGATTCGGATTTCTGCCGGTGTACTGGAAATTTATCTCCACTTATTCTTTCAGAAGTAATCTAACGTATTATGACAGAATATGTGAAAGGTGAATAAAGTATGGATATAGAGCGTGAGAAAGATGAAAGATTAAAACTAACAGGGCGGTGCATCACATACCATTCATCTACAGGATATTGGTTCATGATTTCATCAATTATTGGTTGGTAGCAGGTCCTCCGTTCCTCTATCCCTTCTGTGCTCCAATCCCTTACTAGTTGCTTTATTGTGGCTTGAACTTTTTCCTGATCAGCCATTATTGGACGATGGGTCAGAGTCTGTAAATTGTTAAGCTTTGTAAACCTTATTCTTGCATTTTCATTATTCACTGTTGTACATAATACATGACAAAACTTACGAAAAAAATATATTTTTCATTAATTACAATAAGACGAGTGAATTTTCTTTAATTACAAAAACAGCATGCAACTCTAAAATTTGTCAAACATATTGTAAATACGAAATGAAATGTAAGAAATTCATTTAATAGATTTTTAATATAATGATTGAAAATACAAAATAAAAGTAAAAAAAAAAAAAAAATACTCAAAATGGATATAACAATAAGGACAACACAAAAACATGCTACACACCATAGAACTTGATCTTACATTATCCGTTGTAGAACTAGCTGGGCTAACGTTTTCAAATATGTGTGCCACATCCTTTATTATTAACTTAATTATTTCATCATTATTTTCTATGCATTGTTTGACTTGATTCAAGTGATCTTTATAATTACTTAATAGTTTTTGATGATGGGCTGGAAGACTTAACAGATACTTCTCGGTTTTTTTTACTCTTTGTAAAGAATGAGGTCTGAAAAATCAGAAACAAACAAATTATACTAGTTGTCTACACATTAAGATTTACACATAAAAATTGGTAATAACGCTTGATCAAAAATTGAGAGTGAAGATTGCCGTATTGGTAAGTGATAAATTTAACTACAATGCTTTGGTTTAATGTCATCAAAGAGTATTGACTACTCGCGAAAACAAAAAACTTCCGATAACTGATAACGAAGTATCATAAGTAAATCTTAAAAAACAAATTTAAAGGAACATAGACATGTGCATGACTCGAGTCTCAATTATATCATCAGTGGCTTATTTATTTTTGTCAGCAAAGTATCTAGTTCTTTCTATGTGTAACGTTTGCAAAACACGCAGTATTACAATGTAGTAATGTGCATTTAAAAGAATATTTGAATAAGTCGATACATTATTCTTGGAAATTAATGGCATAATATAATGTATACAAAACGAATTTTGAGAATACGTTAAAAACACCGTTTGCCATGGTATACGTGTACAGGTACGAAAAATCATTAACGTTCCGATAGAAAACAAACATTGGAAGAGGAAAAAAGTAACGAACGCCCTCGTCGCTCAACTACTCCCAGAAATATAAATACCGGCCGGTTAATGTGCCCCAATTATTTTTCCTTTCCCGATAAATCATCCGAAACATAGTCCTTTAATGAAACACGAGAACGCAATCTTAAAGAGGAAATTAGGTATCCGTTACGGAAAGCAATGATCAGATAAAAATCAGGTCTCTACGCATCGTCCTACTGCTGTGCGCGTTCATTGGTGCGTCCATCAACACCCCACCAACTCAGAGGTTATACCCAACAATTTTCAGCTCTCAAGAACTCAAGAAACAATAAAACAAAAAAAAGAAATCAATAAGTACTGGCAGATGGGTATAGGCTACCTACTTGTAATATTTAAAAGCGGAGACAATGCGCTGAAAATGTTTCTTCTCCTCTTCGTCTTCGTACGTGCTGTTTTTGCTCTTCGGCTTGGAGTAGGCGTTTGTCTCAACGTCCATGGTCGATCCTACTTTCAAGAGCTTAGCTTATAGAAAAATGTACGTGCACTAAGTGCAAACTTCTCTTGAATTTTTGTTATCCTCACCAGAATAATTAACGATGGAGCCCAAAAACGAAGCGGATTTTTTTCTTTTGTTCTTCGGCAGGTACGTCTCTCTCCTCGTGCTATAATCCGCCGAGAGATAGATTCTCTTTCCTGACGTCCTGACTCTCTCGAATCTCTCGATCTCGACTCAACGCGCTGCTCTTCAGAAAGATATAACTTTACCTATACTTTGCTTTGCCACTGCTGCTGTGCTGCTAAAGGCATACAGAGCTGCTGATTGGCTGGAAGTATATGTCGTTTTGAGCGGGAAAATTCCATTTTTTTTTTCTCTATGCTATTGGAGATTATTACATATTTACTATTGAACTGTAAGTATATGACGTAAAAAAAAGAGTGTTAAATTTTTAGACGTTATTTTAAATTTAATTTTTCATGGCTTGAAAAAAAAACAGTAAAAAAGGTGTACATTTTTGGGATATTTATTTATTGTAATTCATAAAAAACATTATTTACAATTTGTATATCTCACAACTAATAATTACAGGTACTTTTGTTTTTTACAAACCAAGTCTGAGTCGAAAAATACGTATAATTTTAATTGTATTTAATAGTATTATACTTCAGGGGCCCATAGTTTAAACGTTCTATCATAAGAAGTTGTTGCTATGTATTTTTGATCTGGAGATATGTCAACAGACATGACTTTTCCATCGTGACCGGACAAAGTTTTGAGTGGCTGCCAAGTATTGTTTGACCATATTTTTGCACTGTTGTCATAAGAAGCAGTTACCAAGTATTGTCCTTCTTCCTTTTGATACTTTACGTCTGCTATGAGATTCAAATGAGCTGGTATCGTGTATAAGCAAGATCTTTTTCTGAGATCCCAAATTTTGCAAGAGTTATCCTCTGAACCAGTTGCTATGTGATAACCATTTGGCGAAAAATCAATTCCAAATATTGATTTTAAATGTCCTTCCATGAACATGATGCACCTTCCAGTTCTGAGATCCCAGACTCTCCCAAAGGAGTCTTGCCCACCAGTTGCTACGACTGATCCATCACACTGGAAACTCATGCAATGAACGGGCCTAGTGTGACCCTCCTGATGCAAAACTTCTGCCTGCTGCTCCAAGTCCCACAAACGCCATGAGGAGTCATAACAGCAGGTACCTAAAAATCTGCCAGATGGGTGGAACGCTAATCTGGATACTCTGTGAGGCTCGTGGCCTTCAACTTCTGCCAGAGGCTTTTCACTCTTTCCACCACCCCAGAGCTTTACCGAACCGTCGCTAGCACAGCTTGCCAATACACAAATCCTAGACACCCTGTCTGCAAACATGTCCTCAGCAATGGTTGCCTTTGGATGAAACACGATGCACCCTACAATGCATTCGTGGCCTTTTAACGTTCTTAATAGAGTACAATCAGGAACAGACCAGAGCTTACACAACCCTGACCATGAAGCTGTTGCCAGTACCTTTGAATTTGGACTGAACTGACAGTAAGAAATGGGTCTTGCATCTCCGACTTCTGAGCAGTAAGTGCTCAAATTCTGGAGTTTCTTTAGCAACTCTTGCCTCTTGGCAGTTTTAGTAGCAGCGGATACCTCTAAATCTTTCCTTGCTTTTTCCAGCCTAAATTTTGCTCGCTTAACGGAATAAGCAGAAATCCATAGCCTAGCGTTCCTCAATGAATCAGGTCCTTCATGGTACCAAGTGCTTTCTGGATCTTTTTCTGGCTGCACGAACTTCTCCTCTACGTCCTTCCTTTTGATAGCGTCCTCGCCCAAACTCGCCAGCAGTTCCCTTAACCTGTTTCTCCTGTCTGCGGGGCCCTCACCGAACAAACAGATTGGCTCTTCCAGGTGCCTCAAGTTCTTTTTCACCTCTGAATCATCCGTAGAAACGTTGATCTGTCTTGCCTTCTTACGTCTCTCGAACTCTTCCAACAGGGCCTGTCGATCCTTGGACATGTCATTCTCGAGTTCCATGTACTCATTTGAGATGTGGACATTGACCGGAGTCGGGAAAGCATCGCTATCACCGTTGCTATCGAGGACTCCGGACGACAGGCGCATCCGTTCCGCCTCCTCCAGCGAGCCATAGTGCACGGTTTTTGTCGTCTTCTTGACGTAAGGCACGTCCTCGTCGTCTGACATGCTTGTTTGCAGTATACAAGATGTTAGCTCTTGTGTATTATTGTACTCTCTCGCGTGGAATACAAAAAGCTTGAGCACGACGAAAACACCGGTACATAAGTATGTGGCGTCTCACATCTCTCGTGCTTCAGGCTCTACTCGCCAGGTGGCCAAGCCCCTAATAATTCTCTCCCGTCAAGCGGTGAAATTCCCGCGATCGAGTCAATCTGAGCCCACACCTCTCCTGTGTCTAAGGCAGGGGGTGCTCTCGGGACGAAACACCTTTTTCTCTCTCAAGTAGGCGATAACAATCGCTACACATATACTCTAACCTCGCGTTAAGATTTAGGAGAGTGAAATACAAAAGAAATTCACAAACCACCGAGGCACCAAGAGCGAGTTTAAACCAAAATGCACCAGACCAGAGGTATATACTTATATACTATATGTATATATCAAGACAAAACAATAGCACACGGTTTTTTTTTTCGGCAGGAACGATCTCGACGACTTATTTTGTGTGTTATCAACATTCGTCTTCAAAAAATGTTCATGTGAATGATACTTTAGGGAATTTTACAAGCTGTTTTTATTGCATGGTTAGATGGGCATTAGAAGTCTACAAGCATCTATACACTTAATAATAAAGGTGCACTATCGGTATACTTACTTATTTATGTCTATATATATAATTATTTATCTTACAGTCCGCGCCATCTAGCGGTATTAATTTTCTCGGTCCCCGGTTTTTTGCGAAAAGTTGGCCGACTTGGACTTGGCCCCCCAAAACTCTGATGTTTTGATGTTTATTGCTCCGAAAAAATCGGTGAAAGTTATTATGCTCGAATAAGTATACGGAAATTTTGAAATTTTTTTACATGGTTAGGGTTATTGAGAACTTACAGTCCAAGAGCTGAAGCCGAAGGATGGTCAAAATTTTAACCAGCCGCCACTCTCACCAGAATTGAGTAACTTTATGATTCGTAGAGATCAGAAGTTATTTTGTTATATTTTATATTGGTTAAGAGTAATGTGGTAATTATAGTATTGCCATGTAGTCAATTTTATAATCCAGCTGCAGCTTAAACCAACAGATAGAAAATAAAAAGTTTATTTGAAAAATGGCATTTGCGGCAATGTTAGACTTTATCTTCTATCCAAAAATATACCTATATTTCCGAAGTGCCCTAATAGGTTATAATGGACAGATGGACTATGGACTGCTTAGCGTACACAGAGCGCTCCGAGGTGGATAAATGAACAAACCTATATGAAGTTTCTCAATTCTGGGGAGAGTGTTGAGAGTGGCGGCTGGTTTAGATTTTTTGACCACCCTCGGCAGCCCTCGGGCCTCAACTCTTAGTTTAGAAGAACGAAAGATTGTGTTGTGATAATTAAAACAATCCATATTTTGTTTGTTAAATAATGTCTGACGAGTCCGAACAATCACTTAAAGAGCAGGAGCTAATTGCTGTACACAAAAAGGAGCGAAAAGACCTTCAAGGTAAAAAAGTATCTGTATTTGCTTAATAAATTAAATTTTCCATATCATCTGTCATTACTTACTTGTATTCAGCAAAAATTCAATGTTTGAAGAAGACGATATGTAAAGGAGACAAAAAAAAGAAAAAAGAAATAACAGAGGAAATAGTAAAATTGGAGTCTGAACTGGAGAAAAAACAAAACGATGATCTAGCTGAATTAAAGTTATCACAAATGAATTTAAGTGTGAGTGAAAATGAAAAGAACGATGAAACTGTGAGCAATGACATTTCTACTGAAATTAGTGACCAGGGCAATTCTAAGCCTGCCAGAGTATCAAAAGCCCAAAAGAGAAGAGAAAAAAAGGAGAACGCAGAGAAAGAAAGAAACGAGAGAATTATTGAACAAGAAGCACTTAATGAGTTTGGCCAAAGGAATCTTGAGATACAAGCTATTAAAACTATACTTACGAAACGAAACCTTATGGTCCACGAGATACCTAGTGACGGACACTGGTTAGTAATTATTTATGGGTACATTAAAATTTTTAACAAAATTTTACTAACTTATGCATATTGATTTAGCCTCTATAATGCTGTTGCACACCAATTGAAATTAATAGGTGATTTACCTTTAGACTATAACGACCTTAGAAAAAAAACAGCCAATCATTTAAGGGAAAATATAGATAGTTTTTTACCATTTATTGAAAATTCTAATTCAACTGATGATGAACTTATGACGGTTGAACAATACGAAAAATATTGTGATAACGTAGCGGAAACGAGTGCTTGGGGTGGAGCTGTGGAGGTATGTAAACTGAAGCTTTAATTTGTAAAATTTATTGATTTCACACTAAATTATATTGACCTATTTTTAGCTCCAAGTATTATCAAGTGTTCTCAAATGCCCTATTGAAGTAATTCAAGCCATAGGTGCTCCGTACGAAGTTGGCACCGAATTTGAACCAACGAGAAAACTTATTCTTACTTATTACAGACACATGTATCAATTGGGAGCACATTACAATTCTGTGACAAAATATGTACCAAATACGGAAGACAGCTGATTTAACTGTCAGTTGTTACTTTTAAATGATATTAGCTAATGCAATTGAACTTGATGATGAATTTTAATATCTGTAAATGACTTTTGGATCACGAAATTTATCCGGATTGATATGTTTTCATGCTGCTTCCAAATTATTTTTGACGTTGGTGTTTCGCAACTTATAAATGTCATAAACTTACTTTTTTTGTGTTAATTATTGAAAAATAATTTATTTCATGAAGTATTTTTATAATTATTAAACATCATACGTGTGTTCGAATTTTAATTTTTTTAACTCTGAGAATTGACCAGAAAATAAAAAAACGGTAAATATTCAATAAGTTATTTTTATTCAAAATTTAACAAAACTCCATTTCATTTCTGTTGTCCTTGAGTGCTGGCCTCCGCATTTTCTTCAACAATTTCTTTATTCCTATTTGGATCATCAGGTTTCATAGCGGGGAAAAACAGCACCTCCTAAAAGAAGTTTTTCAATTAGGTATTTTCATATTGTGGAGGTCATAAAAATGAATTTTAAACAAATTTACCTTTATGTTATTTGAGTCAGTAAGGAACATAGTCATTCTGTCTATACCCATACCCCAACCTGCTGTAGGGGGCAGTCCATATTCAAGGGCAGTACAAAAGTTTTCATCAACTAGTTGAGCTTCATCATCACCAGCTGCCTTATCCTTAGCTTGTTGCTCAAATCTTTCTCTTTGAACAAAAGGATCGTTCAATTCGGTGTAAGCATTGCACACTTCCTTTTTCATAACGAAAAGCTCGAAACGCTCTGTAAGACCAGCTTCGGAACGATGCCATTTGGCAAGTGGAGACATAATTTGTGGGTGTTCAATAATGAAGGTTGGATTGACACACGTTTCTTCGATAAATTCACCAACGAGCTGAAATCGATAAAATCCAAGTAATGATACCGAGAATAACTAAAACAAATAATTCGATTTCTACCTTGTCCAGTAGCCTAGCAGTGGTTCTAGGTGCTGGGCAATCGACCTCATGTTTTACACACAGCTCACTAAGGAATTTGTTGGCTTCAGGACTATTCAATTCTGTTGCAATGGGAAACTTGACTTTCAAAACTTCTTCGAGAGTTTTGATCATAGAAACACGTTTGAATGGAGGCGTAAAATCTATCTCTAAGGGCTCGGAATCTTCACCATCGGGATGATACTGGATCTTGTATGTCCCATGAATAGTCTTAACCATACCCGAGACCATAGTTTCCGTGATAGTCATAAGGTCTTTGTAATCTGCATAAGCCATGTAAAACTCGCATGTCGTGAATTCTGGATTGTGAGTCAAGTCAATGCCTTCATTCCTGAATTGTCGTCCAATTTCATAGACTCGGTCGATTCCACCTACCACTAACATCTAAATAGTAATTGACAAATTGACTTAACTTCAAGTATATTTAAATATATTGGAAGACATGTTAATTCAAGTGACATACTTTGTGATACAGCTCAGGTGCGATCCTCATGAACAAGTCCATATTAAGATCATTATGATGTGTTACAAAGGGCTTTGCAGTTGCTCCTCCAGCAATCATGTTCATCATTGGAGTCTCGATTTCCAAAAAACCTAGCTCATCAAGGAATTTTCTAATGTAAGAAATGATTTTAGCCCTTGTATGAAACTTTTGCCTTACTTTGTCATTTATAATGAGATCTAGGTATCTCTGCCGATATCTGGTTTCCTAAGGAAGAAAATACAAAATTTACATGATGAATTAGGCTCCATCCCATGTATGGTAATAAGTTCTTCAAGTTACCTTATCTTTTAATCCATAATGCAAGTGGGGAAGCATGTGCAAACAAGGACTAAGAAGTTTTATATTTTTTGGCAAAATCGAGAACTCTCCTTTCTTACTTTTGCATGGGTAACCCTCAACACCGATTATGTCACCACGCCCAATTTTATCTGTGTCTATGGTAAACTTTTCTTCATCTTCGTATTTTCTAGCATTAGCCATCACCTGAACTTTCACACCTTCTCCTCTCAAATCGTAAAATATCAGCTTAGCACCGGCTCCTCTGATAGAATGCACTCTACCAGCAATACTGACTACTTCATTTTCCAGTGCCTCCCCATCTTTCAACTTGTCACTGTACTGTTCAATGAAATTCTGCAGGGAAATTGACACATGGAACTTGTGGGGATATGGATGGTCACCCGCAGCCTTGAGTTTTTCAAGGGCTTGACTTCTGATTTTGAAGTAATCCTGTAAGATTGAATGTAAGGCATTACCAGAAATCCAACATAGCTATAAGAAAGTAACTCAATCAACATACATTGGGGCTAATGTTTTCTTCTGATAATTTATTCGATGGACCACTAGAATTCTCTTTAACTTTCTCTTCCTCTTGTTTTTTCGACTCCTTTTCTAATTTTTCCTTCAATTTTTGTTCTGCTTTTAATTTCCTTTTCAGTTCACTGAAAATAATTTTGTTTTTTAGCAACGAAAACTATACTTCATAACCCTTTTAGTTGGAATGAAAAATTAAGAGAAAAAACGACGTGGCTACAAGTACGATGGAATTCAAAAATACGCGAAAAAGTGCTCCTCTATAAAACATGATACAAGTACTTCCGCCCAAAATAGTACAAATAAAAATGGCTTAACGTAATTTAAAAAAAGAGGGAACGTAAAAGTCATGATTCTACGCACTTTTTAGAGGGCTGGCAGACGGAAATTTGACGTAATTGGTTGGCTCGCGCCTCGCACGAGGAGGCCGCGCTGAGCAACGTCTTCGTCGAGGCACCGCCGCCACGTTTCAGCAAGGCTCTCCCAACTATGCCTAGCATTATTTGTGATATTTTTTTTTATGGGTGCATCAAATTCCGGATAAACCTTTCTTAGCACATTGTCGCGAATATTGGGTAGTATTTATAGAAAGTAAAAAAAATGCAATAGCTAAAGAACAAGTAAATTGTGTACTTTATCGGTAATATTGTGTTTGAGGTTAATTTTTAGTCTTTCACGAGCATTGCTGTACCAAAATCATGTCGGATTCAGCAGCTGTTGCACGTGTTTGTAGCTACTCACTTTTTGGACAGCTTTTCTACCGGTGCCTCGTCAGCCATAGTAGCACTCTACACTCCTCAACAGGAGGCTGTTGCTGATGCAATACTGTTACTGACTGATATCTAATTCTCTACTCTACTGCTGCAGTAAATACCTAAGTACTTACTAAAGAAGAGCACGAAGGCATCACCACCAAGGATGATGGATCGGAAAAAAGAGCATTGCGTTCCGTGGTGGGGATTCCAGGAGGGGTGCGAGGAAAAGAGCGCCGGCATCGAAATTCGTCTGCTATGCACCCACGCACGTGTAAAAAATGTGCAGTGCAAGTATATTATATGCATTTAAAAGATACTGATTTTTTTTTTATTTGGTTGTTTTAAAATATAAATCTTAATGTTTGTAGGAAAAGTATTGNTTTTTTTTTTTTTTTTTTTTTTTTTTTTTTTTTTTTTTTTTTTTTTCAATGTATTACTTTTTGGTACTTTGAACTTGAGAAAATGGACGAATCGGTGGGTACATTGTACGCGACACACAGTGGCCAAGTGTGGATATCGACACCTCGGCCAAGTGGATTCGAGGGTTACCTTAGAAACCACCAACAACGCGTCAAATCTACCACCTTTGGTGCTGCGCGCGGTATGAGGGCTTTCACACTTTTGAATTTAAATGATGTGTAACTTGCGACAGAGCTAGGATTGCCGGTTGTTGTATGCACACACACCTAATTACTTAATGTTACAGTTTGAGAACAAAAAAAGAGAGATATGGTATCTGATTTTTGCCGTGACAAAATATAATACTTGACGCCTTGGTAAAAAAAAAAATAGCGCAAACTCAGATTTGAATTGAATGCGAGTCAGCGCTTTCTTTGACCGAGGCGTCTGTATGTTGATAATTGTTGCTGTTAACGGATGTTATATCTCATTCGTTGAAAAAAGGAACTACTTCAGCATGACATTCCGTGACAAGAAAGCAATTGGTATATAATATATGCTTGTCATTGATGCCGCTGCTGTTGCATATCTCATGCATATACTTACAAAGAATTCACAGAATCGCGTCATTGTAATCAATAACTTGGCAGAAATTTTCTTTGTTATTTATAAATTTTAATTATTCTGTACGAAAAGCAACGTTTTATAATTACCAGCTTCTTTGAAAGTGCATTATATTAACAAAAACCTGCTGTAAGGCTTCCAAACTCGCAATTATTGACAATAAAACGTTTTCACGCAGTCCCTCGCATCAAAGTTAATACGCAGATCTTTGTGTGTTGAAGCTATCAAAGGCAGACGTAGCATCAGAAATATAAAAACTTGTTCTACAATTATATTTTTAATTAAATTCATTTTTGAACAATTTTTCGTTTCCGTGAAAATAAAAAAATTTTTATTTATCGGCTAAAAGTGCAGTTTCTCGAAACTCAAAATTTCTGTGCTTAACACTATGTCGTACCTTCTATAGAATCAGATGTTACAGCAACAGAATACAAGAAATGATGTTCTATAGTTTAGGTATGTACTAGTAATTTCACACAAAATTTAGATTATTTGACTTTGTCAATAATACAAGGTATGTACCTACTCATTACAACTTTGTAACAGCTGCCTTTTTCCCTTTGGGGGTATAAAATCATTTTTCGAAATCACGCTACAATTAATCTTGTAAATAATATTGTACTGGACAAATTCGATTTAGTTTTCGTCATCTCAGGAGGGGCAGATGTATAGCTTATTCGTATTTCAAAATACTTACCATTCGCGTAAGACGATATAATTGTACAAAAAAAAAATAGTATTGTGAAAAAGCTCGTGCTCGATAAGTGTCGTGGTAAATAGTGAAGCGCTAAAGTAAAATTAGTGAAAATTCGGGTTAAATTTGTATAAAAATGTAACACACATACCTTCGTATAGAGTACCAGAGCCTTTTCGTGAATACCGCTGTTCAAATGATTCGTAGCCTCGTCGATGAGTATTTTCGTTTCAACTGCTACCGATTTCAAGCTGATGCCTCTTCTGCTTCTAGAGTTGCTCTTTTTACTGCCAACCATACTCTCTTGGTCTTAAAAAAAAAAAAAAAAAAAAAAAAATCAACGACACGTGCAGTAAAGGCAATTAACAGCTTAAAAACTCTCGACTCTCCGATCGGAACGTCGAAAAGCATGGAGAAGTCGAAGTTCGCCTCTCGTAACGTGTCTCGCGTACAAATGTGCAAGCTCGCTCCTCATGTCCCTCGGTGCACTGCCACCCGATACGTTCGTTTTCTTTTTTTCCCCTTTCCTTCTGCCCTTCCGTTTCCACCGATCCCCTTATACATGTGTAGGTATACGCCGATCAAACTTGTCGTCGGGAAAGATATATATACTTTTTTTTTTTTGCACTGTACTGCAACAACCTGCACAACGTGGTATATACCTGTACGTATGCGAAAAGAAGAGGCTCGCGAGCCGGTGACTCCTCCTCGACTCGGAAATTGCGTGTCTGCGCTTTTTCATGCAGCAGACCCTGAACGCGACATGCTCCGCGACCGGTTATCGTCATCGTTGTTGTTATCATTATTTGCTCTTTACCTGATCAAACAACCTCGAGGGCTTTTGTTCCCTATATACCTTTGCCAATGTATTGCCTGCAGGGGAAGTTCAGTTTGCGTGATTGGGTTTGATGTTTGGCTTATACATATGTTAGAACATTTCAAAGTTACTTGTGCGTTGGTTACATACAGTATGCAAAGCATTATTGTTATTTCTATGATGAAGCACATTGGAAGCAATGAGATCTATTGCACCAACTGTACTGAACTGAACAATTTTTATCCAAAATATAGGTGTAACAAGAGAATTGTAAGACGTGTCAAATATTTATAAAAAATAAAACTGGTAGATCTGTTTGATTGTTCTTTCAGTGCTCATAGTTATACACGATACGTCACAAGCAAAAATAATAGATGTGTTCCACGGGAGATAGGCTTAAAAAACACTCATTTGTACGTAAATAAATAGATGTAAGTGAAAGAATTGTTAATTATGATGAAATAATGTGTAAGTACCTGCCAGTGACGGTAAAAAAATAATTTCACAGGGTATCATTAAGATGAGAGAACTGTGCCACGGCAGTCGAAAGAAAATTACAGCAGAAACGAACAATTATGAGGTTCGCGTGCCGCCTCGTCCTATACCGAATGCTCGAGTAAAAAAGACCAACAATTGAACATGGGAATAGGATGCATTGCTGGCAGTGACTCATTAGAGACCTCGAATTGCTTAATGCGCGAGGTCACGTAATGTATACCCTATACAATCCACCTCTCTCTCTCTCTTTCTCTCTATTTCTCTGCATCGCTTACTTTGACGATTTCATTTTTTGAGCTTGAAATCCATCGATAATCAAACATATATAAATGTAGGTACTTAATGCTTGCCAGCGTTTACTAAAGTGTGTGGCTTAGTATACAATATACCTTATTTGGAGCTTTCGTTGGCATGATTCGACTACAAAACCTGGAGGGTCCGACCGATTTTTCAAGCTCCGTGATGCATAACTACATTTTTTTCCTTATAAGTATAAGATATTTTTGGTCCTTCTGTCGTGAAATATTCCAACTCTACACAAAAAAAAAATACCTTTCTTTCAAAATTATACAAAGAAATTTATAACATTTATTTCATCTGCAGTCCAAAGATAATAAATCGACAAGTATTCCCCAAGTATTTAGACGCGCCAAAAAAACTTTCAAACCGACATAGTCCCGTTCGACTATAATTTTTTCCCATTGGTCATTTCAATTCGGAGTTTAGCCAATGACGCGCTCCAATATAGGTTTTCGAGAGAAAACGCGGCACAAAAACACACCGTCCGATCGACAATTCGAATCGTATATAAATTCAAAAAAGAAAAAAAAAAAGGACAATCAGCTGTAGCGCCAAAAACACCAACAACGACTGCCGCTCACGTCAATAATGTCAACGTTTTTGTTTATTACATCCCAAATCAAACGAAAATACAAAATTTTTAACCGCTTAACGCCTCAATAAACGCTGCGCACCACCTTGGACCCTCGGACCGGTAGGACGTAGGACGTGAATTGAGCGCGCGCGAGCCAGCTCGTCCTGCGTGTATTTTTTGGCGCGAGAAGAGCGAAAGGCAAAGAGATACCTGTACCCTTCGTCCGACTCATCGTCAAGCAAAGCGGGCATCGCATTATTCACGAAACCTTTGAGCTGGAAGTCATTGCTCCCTACTCCCAAGAGAGTAAAGTTGAATTTATGAGCGACCCTACTTACTTAAAACTTGTAAACTTATCATCTTCAGTAATCAATACTCAAGCATACTTACTTATTTTTCGAGGTTTGTTTTGCTCTTCACATTCAATCGAGGTATGATGTATCACTTGTTGCGCTTACAATTGCTCTTCACGCGCAATTTGTTGATGAAACAATGACTGATCTAAACTAATAATTGTTTTTAGAGAGAAGATACTCATAGTGGAGTAAAATTACCTGAAATTGCAAATTTCAAGCCTTTGGCGGTGCAGGCACCACTGGGGGATTTACCGTACTCTCCCCGTACTCCTGCAAACACTCTGCGCAAAAAAAAGGAGACGAGAATAAACCGGGTGAAAAAAACATCTTGCGAATCATCCAGGGAGACCATCATCTTCTTACGAGTTCTAAAAGCTGTTACTTATCCGCAGTGTCCGTGCATGCGTCTGAAGGTATTTTGTGGCATTCGTGTTTTGCACTAAAGCGTATCAAGTTTCGATCTAAGTCTTTTTAGTATCTTGTACTTAAGTACCGACAGCGGTGGTGGCCCGGTGGCGGCAAAAATATTTTTCCACCCAACCTAACTTGGGTACTTGCGGGTTCCATCACTTTATTTCAGTCGTGTTATGTTGAAAGTTTTACGATGCATCAATATTTTGATGATAATATACTTCGTGGAAGTATGCAGTAAGATAAGCTTAAAATATATTAAAGGGAAAAAAAGCTACCTATTCAGAGAGTTTTTAAATAACAATAGTGTGCTACACGAGGTTATACAATAACATCAATACTTAACACACAGTGTTATCGTTAGTTTGTTCATTTTCTCATTTATTATTATTTTTCTCTTTCAACTTTACGTAAACTATGAATTAAATATATAATATACAATAATCAGATAAATTGATACTATACATGTATGGATCAAAACAACAATTAGCGTGTAATGTATGTTACACCTTTGTATTCACCTGCTGCTGCCTCCAAAACTCTTGTCGGGACTTGAGAAAGTTGATACCTTCCTCGGCATGTACGGTAATGTGTTGAGCCGAATCCTGATGAGCTGCCTTAACGTCTGAAATTATGAAAAAAGTAATTATTTTTTCTTCTCTAATATGCACGGATCAACGCAGCTCACAGCTTTCCAATTAAAGCACTAGTACAAGTATATTCAAATAAACGAAGGGCGAAAAAATCGCGTACACACGCACAATACGGTACATTATATAATATAATGTGCTACAATTCTTCGAAAGCACTCTTGCAATCCGCGTACAAATCATCGAGCTCCTTTCTAATGAGCTTCTCGCCGTCCCGCCTCGGACAAAGGAACTTCATAATGCTCAGTCTGTGCAGGATATTTCTCATCCTCTCCCTCAAAGCGTCCCAGGTGAGCTCCTTTCGGCACCCACCCCCGATGACGGCTTTGCTGGCGAGCTCGTAAAAGCCAATAATGTTGCGCAGCATCGCGTGGGTCTTGTAAAAGGGGCAGAACCGATCGTGGGCCGAGAAATCGTTTTGCTGGAGAAAATCGTCTATCAGCAGCTTGGCGACGTCCAGCAAGACCCTGTCGGGCTCGGACAAGGATCCTCGGCCGACCAGCTGCATCAGCTCGCTCAGCTCCTGGTGCTGCTGCAACATCGCCAAGGCCCTCGCGCGAAGGTCCAGGTAACCCGGGAACCGCGACTCGTAGTAATCGCCTGTAAGTATTATACACACATACACCTACTGATTACCTTCGAACATACACAGTTATACATTGGTGGTTGTAGAAACAAATGAAGCTTATGATAATTGGTATACCTAGAGGTGCGAGGCAGCGTGTGTAGCTCGTCAGCCAGTTGACCGCAGGGAAGTGCTTTCGCTCGGCGAGTCTCTTGTCCAGCGCCCAGAAGGCCTGCACGACGCCCAGGGTGGCGCTGGTCACCGGGTCCGAGAGGTCACCCGCGGGCGGTGAGACCGCCCCGATCAAGCTCAGCGAGCCCTCGCGTCTCGGGTTGCCGAGGCAATCGACCCTCCCGGCTCGCTCGTAGAACGCGGCGAGTCTGGCCGACAGGTAAGCCGGGTAGCCCGAATCCGCCGGCATCTCGCCCAGCCGGGCTCCGATCTCGCGGAGAGCCTCGGCCCAGCGCGAGGTCGAGTCCGCCATCATCGAGACGTTGTAGCCCTGGTCGCGGAAGTACTCGGCCAGCGTGATGCCCGTGTAGACCGAGGCTTCGCGCGCCGCCACCGGCATGTTGGACGCGTTTGCCACCAGCATCGTGCGCTTCATCACTGATTCTCTGCTGTTGTTGCCATCGTCGTGGTGGAGGATGAATGCAATTTTTTTTAGATATTTTCCCTCCGTCTCCGCTTCTCCTCGTGCATCTCTGGTACACGTAAAGACCTTTTTATATCACCTAAAGTCGTCAAACTGCAGCATGAGCTCGGAAAAGTCCTTGAGCACTTCGGCCATCTCGTTGCCGCGCTCGCCGCAACCAACGTACACGATAACGTCCGAATTCGAGTACTTGGAGAGCGACTGGGCTATGACAGTTTTCCCGCAGCCAAACGCACCGGGAAGTGCGGTATTGGCTCCCTGAGGGGATACACCATTAAGGTACACTCCTATGCATAAAATTTTATACGATATAGGTACAACTCTCAAGTGTCGAATTTAACCTGGGCGCACGGAAACAACGCGTCCAAGATCCGCCGGCCGGTCAGCAGCGGTCGCTCCAGTCGCAGCTTATCGGCGTAAGGTCTTGGCTGGCGTACCGGCCAGGTTTGCAACATAGCGACGCTGCTCGTCGCGCCCTCGAATTCGAGCTGCGCTATCGGCTCGGTCACGCTGTAACAGCCCGACGTCGCCAGGTACGTCAACTGCGAACCGTGTCGTATACTGTATGACTTTATTTATTTTTTTCTTTCTTTCTCATGACAAAGTGCCCACGTGGGTTTGCGTCATCCGCGCACCTTTCCTCGGCCGTTTGGCGGCACCATGACCCTATGCCTGACCAATTTGTTTTCGTAGACGTGGCCGATGATGTCGCCGCCGGTCAGGCACGTGCAGCCCTTCAACTTGACCGGGTGGAATTCCCAGAGCGTCGTCCTCGAGATGGCCGGCAGCCCGATGCCCCTGGGAATGTACACGGAGCCGGTGTTCTGTTGGATGTCTCGGAGGGGCCGCTGGATGCCGTCGTAGATCCCACCCAGGAGGCCCGGAGCTAGTTCCACTGAGAGGGGTTTGCCCGTGCGCAACACTGGATCGCCGACCGTGAGACCGCTCGTGTTCTCGTACACCTTGATAGATCAAGGTTCGGCTGATTTCGTTGCACGTACGTCATGTTGTGACTATCGTATATTATTTGATAGGATGTGTACTTGTATGGTAGCCGTATCCCCGTTGAGCCGAATGACTTCGCCGAGGAGCTGCTGGTGCCCGACTTTGACTATCTCGTACATTGCGCTGCCCAGCATGTTGTTAGCCACGATGACTGGCCCCGAGACCGCGTGCACGTAACCGTGCTCCGACTCCTTCATCGCTCGTTCTGGATTCTTGTCTTTTGATTTTACCTTTGGCATTTTTTTTTTACCCTTTTTACTCTTCAGTGATGGACAGAGGTTACCAGAGTTGGTATCACTTCATTCGGTATATGCACTTTGAACTGTATATCTTATCTGTCTGTGTCTGTGGTCTGTGATTGAGGTTACTTTCTACCTTCTTCTTTTTTTTCTTTTCTATTCATTTTTTTTTTTTTTTTTTTTCAATAAATGTTCGAAGTACGAGAGCGGGTAAGATATATACTTTATTTTTACTTTTACCATTGGCATGCGAGTCCTTGAATTTTGTTACTTTTCAAGTAAATTTAATACTATAATATTTTCATACTCGCAGGGTTCGCGAGACACCTTGGATGGAGACTAGGATGTAGGTGGTGATGGCGACAACAGTGACACGTTTAAAAAATTTACGCACTGCGGCACACGATCGAGCAACTCCCTCACGTGAGTTATTATCATACATACGTAAAATTATAATGATTTAAACGATACAAAAAAAAAAAAAGAAAATTCTTTACCTGGTCGTTTCAGAAGGCTCTGCAGGTACTTTTTATCAACGTTCAATTGCCGCAGCAGGTGCAGCTCCTGGCCGCCTGTCCTCTTCGCCGTGCGCGACCGTCGTCTTTTGCTCGAGAACGTCGAAGTGGTTTTCACAGGCGTAACCGTATCGTTATCGCGGCAAGTGTCCCCGAGCTTGAGGGTGGACTTGGTATCGGTCGATCTCTCCGAGCCCAAAACCGTGGTGGGACTGCAAGTCACCGGTCGAGCCGAAACCGATGATTCCTCATCCTGAGCTCGCAGGCTCCGGCTTGTGTTGCGCGAACTCGATTTTTTCGCCAGAGGCACCGCGGAAGCACCTGTAATTTAAATACAATTGTACACATCTCATGCATCACGTACATATATATACATCTTGAATCAGCGTATAAGAATAGGAATATATAGGATTGAGGATAAAATGTTGTGTATTTTCTGTAACTGTTACCTCCGAGTATGTTCTGTATGGCCTCCTTGGCTTTCTGCACGCCGAGCCTGAACTGATCGAACTCGGGCCGTATCTTCATGCCACGGTAGTAAAAAACGAGGCTCAGCTCAAAGTCGCCCAGGTGATAGAGCGCCTCGGCTTTGGCGAACAACGCCCTGGCGCTGTGGGGCTTCCTCGAGCGACCGCGCAGCGCCGCCTCCGCGTCTTCTAGCGCCTTTTGCGGCTCGCCGAGCAACAAGTGGCACCTGCTCCGAGCTATCAGCGCTTTTTTATCCCGCGGACTCAGTTCTAGGGCCTGATGATTTTTTTTAATTTTTTTTTTTTACAAGTATTACATTGAGGTGATGTATATATATATATTATACAGCGCGTGTTCCAACTTTACAGCTACTACGTGCATGCTAATTCGGTGCGTTTAAAAGCATACGAAAACGTGTCCATTGGGATTGAGTAATGAATGTTGTTGTTTATTTTAGGTTTTGCATGGTCCGTCAAATGGATGTATAGTTGTGCGGGTGGTCGACCTTGTTGATGCAGCTGAGGGCTACGGCGAGGTTGCCGCATCTGAGTTCCCGGACGCCCAGGTCGAGCATGGAGCCGGGCTCGGCCTCGTCGGGCAGCTGCAGGGCCAGGTTTCGGTCCTGCTTGCGCTTGAGCTTGAGCGACTGCTTGATGTCCCGGCTGCCCATGTTCACGGCCGCGGCTCTGTCCTTGTCCGTGTACACCTCCTCCTGGCGGTGGGCGTCGCTCTTCCGGCGCCTGCGCTTCCGCGACTTGCGCAGCTTTTCCTCCTGCAGGAGCTCCTGGACGCTTTTGTTGCTGCGGACGAGGGAGGAGCGCGGCCGGGAAGCCGATGATGCGCCTCGGGCCGCCTCCTGGCTGGGCTCTTGGAAGCTCAGCTTGAGCTGCTTGCCCCCGGCGAAGGAGTCGTTTCTTTTTTTTTTTTTTTTTTTTCATATTAAATGATTTTATTTTTTTTGGTTGATCAAAACACCACAGCTCCCCCCTTCCCCCCAAGTGTGTTTTCTTTGGTTGAATTTGTACCTTCTAACGCGTCTGTCCTCGATGGATCCTTCGTCGATGCCGATGCGGACGAAACTTTGCAGGAAATCGTTGTCTTGAAGCGTCGGCTTCAAAATATCCGAGAATACCTGAACTACCGGTATGGTAACTTCGTTAGTAACTCCCACGTGGTGGGTTTCCAGCGTTTCCGTCATTTCAAGATGTTTTTTTTTTTTTTTTTTTTTTCAATGTATTACTTTTTGGTACTTTGAACTTGAGAAAATGGACGAATCGGTGGGTACATTGTACGCGACACACAGTGGCCAAGTGTGGATATCGACACCTCGGCCAAGTGGATTCGAGGGTTACCTTAGAAACCACCAACAACGCGTCAAATCTACCACCTTTGGTGCTGCGCGCGGTATGAGGGCTTTCACACTTTTGAATTTAAATGATGTGTAACTTGCGACAGAGCTAGGATTGCCGGTTGTTGTATGCACACACACCTAATTACTTAATGTTACAGTTTGAGAACAAAAAAAGAGAGATATGGTATCTGATTTTTGCCGTGACAAAATATAATACTTGACGCCTTGGTAAAAAAAAAAATAGCGCAAACTCAGATTTGAATTGAATGCGAGTCAGCGCTTTCTTTGACCGAGGCGTCTGTATGTTGATAATTGTTGCTGTTAACGGATGTTATATCTCATTCGTTGAAAAAAGGAACTACTTCAGCATGACATTCCGTGACAAGAAAGCAATTGGTATATAATATATGCTTGTCATTGATGCCGCTGCTGTTGCATATCTCATGCATATACTTACAAAGAATTCACAGAATCGCGTCATTGTAATCAATAACTTGGCAGAAATTTTCTTTGTTATTTATAAATTTTAATTATTCTGTACGAAAAGCAACGTTTTATAATTACCAGCTTCTTTGAAAGTGCATTATATTAACAAAAACCTGCTGTAAGGCTTCCAAACTCGCAATTATTGACAATAAAACGTTTTCACGCAGTCCCTCGCATCAAAGTTAATACGCAGATCTTTGTGTGTTGAAGCTATCAAAGGCAGACGTAGCATCAGAAATATAAAAACTTGTTCTACAATTATATTTTTAATTAAATTCATTTTTGAACAATTTTTCGTTTCCGTGAAAATAAAAAAATTTTTATTTATCGGCTAAAAGTGCAGTTTCTCGAAACTCAAAATTTCTGTGCTTAACACTATGTCGTACCTTCTATAGAATCAGATGTTACAGCAACAGAATACAAGAAATGATGTTCTATAGTTTAGGTATGTACTAGTAATTTCACACAAAATTTAGATTATTTGACTTTGTCAATAATACAAGGTATGTACCTACTCATTACAACTTTGTAACAGCTGCCTTTTTCCCTTTGGGGGTATAAAATCATTTTTCGAAATCACGCTACAATTAATCTTGTAAATAATATTGTACTGGACAAATTCGATTTAGTTTTCGTCATCTCAGGAGGGGCAGATGTATAGCTTATTCGTATTTCAAAATACTTACCATTCGCGTAAGACGATATAATTGTACAAAAAAAAAATAGTATTGTGAAAAAGCTCGTGCTCGATAAGTGTCGTGGTAAATAGTGAAGCGCTAAAGTAAAATTAGTGAAAATTCGGGTTAAATTTGTATAAAAATGTAACACACATACCTTCGTATAGAGTACCAGAGCCTTTTCGTGAATACCGCTGTTCAAATGATTCGTAGCCTCGTCGATGAGTATTTTCGTTTCAACTGCTACCGATTTCAAGCTGATGCCTCTTCTGCTTCTAGAGTTGCTCTTTTTACTGCCAACCATACTCTCTTGGTCTTAAAAAAAAAAAAAAAAAAAAAAAAATCAACGACACGTGCAGTAAAGGCAATTAACAGCTTAAAAACTCTCGACTCTCCGATCGGAACGTCGAAAAGCATGGAGAAGTCGAAGTTCGCCTCTCGTAACGTGTCTCGCGTACAAATGTGCAAGCTCGCTCCTCATGTCCCTCGGTGCACTGCCACCCGATACGTTCGTTTTCTTTTTTTCCCCTTTCCTTCTGCCCTTCCGTTTCCACCGATCCCCTTATACATGTGTAGGTATACGCCGATCAAACTTGTCGTCGGGAAAGATATATATACTTTTTTTTTTTTGCACTGTACTGCAACAACCTGCACAACGTGGTATATACCTGTACGTATGCGAAAAGAAGAGGCTCGCGAGCCGGTGACTCCTCCTCGACTCGGAAATTGCGTGTCTGCGCTTTTTCATGCAGCAGACCCTGAACGCGACATGCTCCGCGACCGGTTATCGTCATCGTTGTTGTTATCATTATTTGCTCTTTACCTGATCAAACAACCTCGAGGGCTTTTGTTCCCTATATACCTTTGCCAATGTATTGCCTGCAGGGGAAGTTCAGTTTGCGTGATTGGGTTTGATGTTTGGCTTATACATATGTTAGAACATTTCAAAGTTACTTGTGCGTTGGTTACATACAGTATGCAAAGCATTATTGTTATTTCTATGATGAAGCACATTGGAAGCAATGAGATCTATTGCACCAACTGTACTGAACTGAACAATTTTTATCCAAAATATAGGTGTAACAAGAGAATTGTAAGACGTGTCAAATATTTATAAAAAATAAAACTGGTAGATCTGTTTGATTGTTCTTTCAGTGCTCATAGTTATACACGATACGTCACAAGCAAAAATAATAGATGTGTTCCACGGGAGATAGGCTTAAAAAACACTCATTTGTACGTAAATAAATAGATGTAAGTGAAAGAATTGTTAATTATGATGAAATAATGTGTAAGTACCTGCCAGTGACGGTAAAAAAATAATTTCACAGGGTATCATTAAGATGAGAGAACTGTGCCACGGCAGTCGAAAGAAAATTACAGCAGAAACGAACAATTATGAGGTTCGCGTGCCGCCTCGTCCTATACCGAATGCTCGAGTAAAAAAGACCAACAATTGAACATGGGAATAGGATGCATTGCTGGCAGTGACTCATTAGAGACCTCGAATTGCTTAATGCGCGAGGTCACGTAATGTATACCCTATACAATCCACCTCTCTCTCTCTCTTTCTCTCTATTTCTCTGCATCGCTTACTTTGACGATTTCATTTTTTGAGCTTGAAATCCATCGATAATCAAACATATATAAATGTAGGTACTTAATGCTTGCCAGCGTTTACTAAAGTGTGTGGCTTAGTATACAATATACCTTATTTGGAGCTTTCGTTGGCATGATTCGACTACAAAACCTGGAGGGTCCGACCGATTTTTCAAGCTCCGTGATGCATAACTACATTTTTTTCCTTATAAGTATAAGATATTTTTGGTCCTTCTGTCGTGAAATATTCCAACTCTACACAAAAAAAAAATACCTTTCTTTCAAAATTATACAAAGAAATTTATAACATTTATTTCATCTGCAGTCCAAAGATAATAAATCGACAAGTATTCCCCAAGTATTTAGACGCGCCAAAAAAACTTTCAAACCGACATAGTCCCGTTCGACTATAATTTTTTCCCATTGGTCATTTCAATTCGGAGTTTAGCCAATGACGCGCTCCAATATAGGTTTTCGAGAGAAAACGCGGCACAAAAACACACCGTCCGATCGACAATTCGAATCGTATATAAATTCAAAAAAGAAAAAAAAAAAGGACAATCAGCTGTAGCGCCAAAAACACCAACAACGACTGCCGCTCACGTCAATAATGTCAACGTTTTTGTTTATTACATCCCAAATCAAACGAAAATACAAAATTTTTAACCGCTTAACGCCTCAATAAACGCTGCGCACCACCTTGGACCCTCGGACCGGTAGGACGTAGGACGTGAATTGAGCGCGCGCGAGCCAGCTCGTCCTGCGTGTATTTTTTGGCGCGAGAAGAGCGAAAGGCAAAGAGATACCTGTACCCTTCGTCCGACTCATCGTCAAGCAAAGCGGGCATCGCATTATTCACGAAACCTTTGAGCTGGAAGTCATTGCTCCCTACTCCCAAGAGAGTAAAGTTGAATTTATGAGCGACCCTACTTACTTAAAACTTGTAAACTTATCATCTTCAGTAATCAATACTCAAGCATACTTACTTATTTTTCGAGGTTTGTTTTGCTCTTCACATTCAATCGAGGTATGATGTATCACTTGTTGCGCTTACAATTGCTCTTCACGCGCAATTTGTTGATGAAACAATGACTGATCTAAACTAATAATTGTTTTTAGAGAGAAGATACTCATAGTGGAGTAAAATTACCTGAAATTGCAAATTTCAAGCCTTTGGCGGTGCAGGCACCACTGGGGGATTTACCGTACTCTCCCCGTACTCCTGCAAACACTCTGCGCAAAAAAAAGGAGACGAGAATAAACCGGGTGAAAAAAACATCTTGCGAATCATCCAGGGAGACCATCATCTTCTTACGAGTTCTAAAAGCTGTTACTTATCCGCAGTGTCCGTGCATGCGTCTGAAGGTATTTTGTGGCATTCGTGTTTTGCACTAAAGCGTATCAAGTTTCGATCTAAGTCTTTTTAGTATCTTGTACTTAAGTACCGACAGCGGTGGTGGCCCGGTGGCGGCAAAAATATTTTTCCACCCAACCTAACTTGGGTACTTGCGGGTTCCATCACTTGGGTGGTAATAAAATTAGGTACTTATATATATATATATTACTACCAGGTAGTCCACTACAGTGTCTGCGCTCGGTCTTCGGTGGTGCGGTGCTAGAATACGGGCGTGTTAGAAGTACTGTACCATAGTGCATCCAGATTCCAGGCAAAGCATATCACGCGCGTCACCTGAGCTGGTTTAACTTTCGGAGACAAGAGGTTTTTAAACATTTGAGCAGAGCCATTGAGCATGCACGCTTCAGCTTCAAGCTAAGTAAGTAGCAGAGCCGCAATATATACATTGCAACTGAGGAAGAAGAAGGAGAGAGAAGGAGGTTGTTCTCGCGCGCATATTACACACACACGCGCGCGCGCGCGTCTCACGACGACAAGACGAGGGGACAGCCCGCGCTGCCTACTGCTCCTGCCAGTGGCCAGCACCTCTTCTTCGCGGACTGCTCCTGACCAAGACGACAAGTGACAATGGCGGCAAATCTCGAGCAGTTCCAGCAACTCCTGAGCACCCTCCTCCACAGCACTGACAACGAAGTCCGCTCGCAAGCCGAGGTATGTTCCATTCCTAAATAACTACTTACTCGCTCCCTCACTCTGAGCACGTTGTTGGCGTGTGAGCGCGGCACCGAGAGGTTAGGCGTTCGGTGTTGCTAAACTCAACCAGAAGATGATAAAGAACCCCATTGACGCGATCTTTTGGGAGGAGCTCGCTTAGCCCCACCGAACGATCAATTTGGTCGTGCACCTTTACTTCTGTTAGTGCCGTGTTTACTTCAAAACTCGTCGTCCAAATCTTTAAAGCCTACCCCTGGTTCGTGCTCCGATAGTTTTGCTGTATTTTAATTACTCGCTCATTTTTTCATCATTTATTTGTTTATTTACGTTAATAGCAGAAAGCATGATTTCTCGCCACGGCAGAGAAGTCTCGATGCCTTTTGGTGGTACATAAATGCATGTGCTTAAAAAAAAAAAAAAAAAAAAAAAAAAAAACCAGTATGATGGACAGAAAAAGCTCGTCTACACGAGTACATTGAGAAATTTCCATCTTTGAGTCTTCGGGTGGCCCAAAATATTTGGCAGACACTTATTTTTCCTATATCACAGTGAGAGCATAGCAGCTGCTGCGGCACTTGCTTTTCCGCAAGGTTTCCGCGACAGACATCACAAACGCGAGCCAGCGCATGACGCGCTCGCTACTTTTTTATTTATTGTTACTCTGCCCGCTCAAGAAGGCACTTGGAGGATTAGAGAATGCTCGCTAATTTCCCTTTTGCCACGCGCTCCTCACATAACCTCCAATGTTCAACGTGTCTTTCTTGCTTCTTCCTTCCCTTTGCTCTTGTTCGTTCGTCGCTCAAGATTTCGCTCCAAAATTAATTCATGTGTGTGTGTTGGCGCGTTGCGCTGGCCCAATTCATCTGTCTCTCCTCGTTTTTTTCCGATTTTCGGCTTTCTTTATCGTCGTAAAACATGATCAATGATTTCTTTTTTTACATGGGTTGATATGGGTATCGCTGTACTTATATTTATTTATATTATTTATATCGTACTCTACACCACAAGTTAGCCACGCTGAATATGTATATTTACCTCCTGTACTGTCGCGGTCTCTTGGGAGGAAGAAGGAAGCGGGAGCGGATGGTGCAGCCGTGCTCTGGTGTTTTTTATTTCACCGGCGCGCGAGAGTTGCCTCGTGAATTTTTAATTCGCACACCGACGTCGGCGACGGGGCACGCAACGTTGTATTATACTTAGCAACTCACGTTCTCTCGCCTCATGACCTGCAATAATTCAACGCTGCTCTGACGCGTGGGTGGCTCTATTTACTTATTTATCTATTTGGTATGGGTACGGAGTTTTCTTTTTCGAAACAAGATTTCGATGTACTTAGCCTATATCTTGATGATTGAGAAATTCGGTCTCTGAGAAGACAAGTCCAATTTCTACGCTCTAATTGGGCCTTTTATTGCACATACTGACGCGAGCCTGAGTCATCATTAAAGGGTTACTCTGTTGAATTGTATCTCATACATGTGGATATAAATATAATGTACATGAAAAAGCGTTTTCTCGCTCACATTATTATCATTCCTGGTCGCGCTGTATTCTGTCGTTCTGTGTATTTATTATACTTATGAATCCGATTTTGATTGATCCCACCGGAAAATATATCTCTGCGCATTTTTATAATTCTATTTCATAGCGTGACTTTACCATTTATTGTTGTTTTTATTACCTTGCACTTTTATGGTGTGTATTAGAAAAAAAAAAAGGTTACTTGGACAGTATACCTACTGTTTTTATGAATATTAGCACATACAGCTGTTGTATTGTTACAATAACTTTTTTGATATGAAATCTGTGAGCTAGAAAAAATTATTTTGAAATAATAGAATGTAAATTCGTATTAAGTAAGAACAGTATTAGCTCGAGCACACAAATGATAAGAATAGGTGATGATGTAATTAAAGGGGTCTGTAAAGTCTTTTTTAGCTGAAAAACTGAGATAAATGTAACTAACGATCACTTAACCTCCCTTACTCACTGAATATTTTAACATAAATTTTTCATCAAACTACAATTCTTTCAAACGTTTCCTATTTATTTACTTTTTTGTCATGATTTTTAGGAGGTGTACAAAAATTTACCATTGGAAAGCAAAGTTCACTTACTCCTAAGTGTTCTGTGTGACACAAATCTAAATGAAGATGTACGAAATTCGGCAGCCGTATTGTTACGTAGGGTGTTTACTCAAGAATTTATGGACTTTTACCCAAAGGTTTGTAAAATCGTATGAAAAAAATATGCTCAATTGAATAAATATTACAAGCAAATGTTAATTTATTATTTTCACGTAAGATTCCACCAGAAGGGCAAGCTCAGTTGAAAGAGCAAATTTTATTGGCTATTCAAAATGAGCAGTCTTCCAAAACCAGGCGTCGAATGTGTGACGTAGCGGCCGAAGTTGTTAGAAATTTAATTGACGACGACGGTAACAACCAATGGCCGGAATTCTTGCAGTTTCTATTCCAGTGCGCAAATGGACCAGTACCAGGTCTTAGAGAGAGTGCTCTGCAAATGTTTACGTAAGTTAAAGTTCGTGTGGAAGTGCAATGTTGATTTTAATACTGATAGATGCGTTAATAGAAACAGAAAAAATGAAATCTTTACCGTTACAATAATTAAAAAAAAAAGTTAATGGAGAAAAATTCAATCTAATTCAATTCAAGTTATATTACAAAATATTTTGGTAATATTTCTATAATCTATTCACTCTACTGCAATTTAAAATTGAACATCACTTTAATTTTTTGTTCACGTATGAAGCTTGCGAGTTTTTCGATTAATATATAACTTCACTTCTTTTTAATTCATTTTATTTTATTTTATTTTTTTCAGATGTGTCCCAAGCGTTTTTGGCAATCAACAAGCAAATTATCTTGACCTTATCAAGCAAATGTTACAATTGTCTGTTAGTGATGCAGCCAATTATGAGGTAACTATTACGTAACAAATAATAATAAGTTTCCTGTCTGTGTGGAGATAGATACGCAAATGTGATATTTCTAATCACATGTCGCCACGAAGTCTCCGTAAAGTAACAGCTTTCTGATGACTGTAACTTGTCAAGTTCTAATTTACAGACAGATACGGAGCTTACAGTATTATCTTTAAAGAAAAATGTTGCCATTCGTTGTTGAATATATTTTTATTCAAAATTGCACTATTAGGTACGATTCCAAGCAGTCAGAGCAATCGGAGCATTCATTATACTTCATGAGAAAGAAACCAATATCCACAAGCACTTTTCTGAGTTGTTACATCCATTGGTACTCGTCATAGCCGAATCAATTGACAAACAGGATGACGACTCTCTGCTAAAAGTCCTAATTGAACTAGCCGAGTCGACGCCGAAATTTCTTCGACCTCAGCTGGAATCAATTATGGAAATGTGTATGAAAGTTTTCTCCAATGAAGAGATGGAAGATTCTTGGAGACAATTGTCTCTCGAAGTCATTGTGTCACTCGCAGAAAATGCTCCAGCAATGGTCCGAAAGGTCGGCGAAAAATATATCGCTGCGCTAGTACCATTAGTTTTGAAAATGATGGCCGACATCGACGATGAAGAAAACTGGAGCTTAGCTGACGAAGTTAGCGAGGATGATAATGATACCAATAATGTGGTAGCTGAGAGTGCCCTTGATAGACTAGCATGTGGCCTTGGCGGTAAAACCATATTACCACAAATTGTACAGAATATTCCTTCGATGTTGGAAAGTCCCGACTGGAAGTACAGGTAGTTCAATACAGATATGACTATAAACTTATTATAATAATTATACGAGAAAATCACTATTTAAATATTTAAATAGACATGCTGCACTCATGGCAATATCTGCAGCAGGAGAAGGGTGTCATAAACAAATGGAACAAATACTACCACAGATTATGGATGGTATTATGCGATACTTGCAAGATGTGGTAAGTTTTCGATAGATTCAAATAAGGTTTTTTCTACATGCCACGGACAGAGTCAGCAGTCATTTCACGTACAGAACATGAAGGCGTTACGTCTGTGGCAAATTAACTCTATTGAGAGTTCTTTATTCTCATTTGTCGTTTTGACAAATAGATAATAGTTCTTTCAGTGGATGTTTCTGAGAGTTGGCTGCTGCCAATATGCAATAGCCATAGTATTGAAACATACAATCAATTGAAATAACATCAAATTCAATTACGTGATTTTAACTATTTAAATAAACCGATTAATCAATTACAGCACCCTAGAGTCAGATATGCTGCTTGCAATGCTGTTGGACAGATGTCGACTGACTTTGCACCGACCTTCCAAAAGAAATTTCATGATGTAGTAATCCCAGGATTATTTCACGTTTTGGATGACAATGAAAATCCCCGAGTTCAAGCTCATGCTGGGGCAGCTCTCGTCAATTTTAGCGAGGATTGTCCTAAGAATATTCTGATGCCATACTTGGATTGTATTATGAATAAACTAGAGTTAATATTGAATGCCAAATTCCAAGAATTGGTCGCCAAAGGAACAAAACTAGTGTTGGAACAGGTTTGTTTTTTGAAATAGAATTCTCTCATTCATTTAATAAATCTCATATCTAGTTCGAATTAATTTTTTTTTCTATTTTCTCATAATTAAAAGATTGTTACGACGATAGCCAGCGTTGCTGATACATGCGAGGAACAATTTGAAAAGTATTATGATAGACTTATACCATGTCTGAAGTTTATTATTGAGAATGCAACCAAGACAGAGCACAAACTGCTGCGTGGCAAAGCAATTGAATGCGTCAGTCTTATCGGCTTGGCTGTTGGACGTGACAAGTTTTTAGCAGATGCCAAAGACGTTATGGCCATGTTGCTAAAAACACAAGGGGATTTGCCCGAAGATGACCCACAACTCAGCTATTTGATTTCTGCCTGGTCAAGACTTTGCAAAATTCTTGGTGATTACAATTTTTATTTTAACTTTACTATTATATTTAAAATAGGTTTATTTACGAGGGTAATTTTTATATAGGAAAAGATTTTGAGCAGTACTTACCTTTGGTCATGCCTACTGTTATGCAGACAGCAGCCATGAAACCGGAAGTGGCACTGCTGGACAATGACGATATGGAGGGTATTGAAAGTGATGTCGATTGGCAGTTTGTTTCATTTGGAGAACAACAGAATTTCGGCATTAAAACTGCCGGACTCGAAGACAAATCCTCAGCCTGTGACATGCTTGTGTGTTACGCACGTGAGCTGAAAGATGGTTTCGCAAATTATGCTGAAGAAGTCGTTAAACTCATGGTTCCTATGCTTAAATTCTATTTCCATGACGGAGTACGGACAGCTGCGGCGGAGAGTTTACCTTTTTTGCTGGATTGTGCGAAAATTAAGGGTAAGAATCTTCTATAAGTTAACTTTATAAGTTGAAAGCCACAGAAAGTCAACAATCAGATTTTTTCTACGAATTTGATAGTGTTACATCTGTGGGAGAGAAACTAGTGGATTAGTCTCTTCTCTTTTTGTTGTTTTAATGAATCGAGTCTAGATCTACTCACGAGAAATTCCTGAGAGTTGACTGTCAATATTATTTAGCAGTCATAGTTTTGGAATTTACATTTTAATTTATTCAGTAAGGTTTTTTGTATCCTACATGTCAAAGTTTACATAATATATTATTATTTTCATTGACAGGTCCACAGTATTTGGAAGGTATGTGGAATTACATTTGTCCAGATCTTTTAAAAGCCATTGACACTGAACCCGAGCCTGATGTAATGTTGGAGTTAATGTATTCTCTGGCAAGATGCATTGAAACTTTGGGTGCTGGTTGTCTTACACCACAGTCAATGGAGGAATTATTACGCATTCTCAACAAACTGTTAAATGAACACTTCGAAAAGGCCGTAGCTAGATTGGAAAAAAGAAAAGATGAAGATTACGATGATGTATGAAGAACAAACACAGAACGTAATTGAATTGTGTTGGATATGTTGGAATAACAAAAAATATTTTTTTTTTTCAGGTCGTTGAAGAACAGCTTGCCGACGAAGACAACGAAGATCTTCATACATTGAGTAGGATAAGTGACATTTTCCACGCGCTTTTTATTACCCACAAATCGGCCTTCTTCATCTACTTTGATCAAATCGTGCAACACTTTGTAAAATTGTTGGCCCCCGATAGGCCATGGTCTGATCACCAATGGGCTCTATGCGTCTTTGACGATGTGATTGAATACGGAGGTCCTGAATGCGTCAAATACGAGAAACATTTCCTTCTTCCTCTCATTCAGTATGTCACAGACAAATCAGCAGAAGTCAGGCAAGCTGCGGCTTATGGCTGTGGAGTTCTTGCCCAATTCGGCGGCGAAGCTTTTGCACAGGCCTGCGCCCAAGCCTTACCCAGACTTTTAGAAGTCATTAATGAGCCTGACTCGAGAAGCATCGAAAAAGTAAATCCTACAGAGAATGCCATTTCAGCTGTAACGAAAATCCTTAAATACAACAGTAAAGCAATCAACGTTGACGAAATTCTTCCACACTGGTTAAGTTGGCTACCAGTTGTAGAGGATGACGATGAGGCCCCACATGTTTACGGATACTTGTGCGACTTGATTGAAACGAACAATCCAATAGTTCTAGGTCCAAATAATTCAAATTTGCAAAAGCTCATCTCAATATTTGCGGAAGCCTTCAGTAAAGATGTCATACCTTCCGATAGTGAAGTTCTACCTAGAATACTTGGTATAATTCGACAAGTTCAGGTAAATAAATACAATTCATCCTTATTTTAATTATGATGTATTCGAATACACGTAACTTAAAACAAAAAAATTGTTTTCTTTCAGAGTAACGATTCCATGTTTCAAATGTGTATGTCCGTTTTGACGCCGGAACAAAAAATAGCACTCCACGATGCCCTTAACGTGCAACCCCCAATATAAGACGCCATTGAGCCGATTCGATTTCAACGTAATAAAAAAAAATTATAACAAAAATATCTGCGTTTTTCCAAATTTCAATAACTGGGAAAATAATCGATGCTGCGTAGGTTATTTAGATGCCTTACCTACCTAACAAGCAAACTGAATTTTACGCCTCACTTTACAGCCTAACTAGTTAGCATTCGGAGAGAAAAAAAGGACACATAGGTGTAATTGTCTGTTTTGCTGATCACTGTTATTGTTAATTGAATATTTTTTTGTCTCCACTGTGCGACACAAATACAGACCTCAAAATTTGTCGTATTAGCAATAAATAATGAATTTCATTATTTCGTGAAAAGAAAATTTTAAGTTATACTTTGTATACGTACAATGAAAAATTCTTATTTGTCGTAAATAAGTTCGCAATGACGAAATGACTATTTTTGTAATTTTCTCTATGAAATATATAATTTTCTAAAAAAAATTTTACTTATAAATACGAGAAAAAAAAACGATGGTAAAATCATTAATAAATGTATATCAGAAATATTTCTTACGTTCTCGTATACAAACTTATAAGGTATATGAGAAATCTACATAATGCTTTATAACATTTTAATCAAGTTGTGGCTTACTCTTCCGAGAATGTAAATGCAATTTTTNTTTTTTTGTTAAGCTGAACAATTTTATAGACGTGATTCGTCAATGCGGGCTTATCAATTTCTCGCAAGTGTAAGACAAACGTAAACTTGTGTATGCATACACCTTCTCTGCTGCAATTGCTCCCATGAAATAATAATAAACAATAAACAAAAAAATATGCGAGAAAATAAAATAGACTGGAAGCCATCAACTTCATTGCCATCGCTCTGATGACGGCATGACATTGTGATTTAGATATTTTATTATTAAATTTAGGTACAATTAATGTTATTTAATGATATAATAACGATAGATTGCAGTGTTATTACGTGGAATGTTGGCGGATCGTCGCGTCGTTAGGCGCCACCGATATTATGAAAATAATTTTTTTTCTTCTTTTTTTTAATTAAAAAATCTTTCAATTATGCAATCTAGACATCTATTACACCGTTTGAAAGTTAATCTCATCGAAATAAAAGAGTAACAATTTCCTTTCCCCTATACAATCACCGTTTGTAACGATGTTCTTTGGTGCTGCGCACTGATAAATACTCTACGATTTTGCATATAGTGTTCTAAAGGAACCAAAACGTTATTGTTGAGAGCAAACAAGAGAAAATTTGCAAATCACAGCGTATATCCGCTATACATTGTCTCTTTATTTATTTATACACAGTTGTTAAGTAATATCTAAACTGCATGAACTTAACAACCCTTGTGGAAAAAAAAGAAACTAACTCGATAAGCATACGGATTGACTTCGAAAAGGATGCGTGTGTGAAACAACGTTATTCTTCGACGATAGCACTTTTGTCTGTATATTTTTATCTCACTCAAGAAGAAAAATTGAAAAAAATTCTCTGTACATAAAATAATAAATCGAGAAATTAAATATAAATTAGTGCAAGTGGAAATGAAATGATCAGGTGCTGAAGCGAATTTGATTCAATAGAACGTCTGAATGCTGCTGTAGTTCCAAGCCTCCGATTATTTTTTTTTTTTTTTTTATTAGGAAAGATAAAATTTCTAAAAGAAAAAAAGTGCTGATTATACATAAGCCATTAAAAATCAAAAGATATCACATAGATGCACCAAAGTCGGATGTAAAATGTTCGCTTTCGGTACATCTCACGGTGTTCCTCCTTTAGCAGTGCAATTTTTCTTTCACAGTTTTAAACACTTTTTAAGAAAAAATGAAATTGGGATCAAAAGATACCCATCGGATTGTCGGAACGGCATGATTCATGTTAAAAAAAAATGGAGAGATAAGCAGTCGATTGAAAGCGACAGCGAAAATCGTCGCAATAAGAAAAATGATACAATTGAATCGATATAAACAGATAGTCGAATTAAGAACTACATATATAGAGATTATTTTAAACGTTATCCAATCAAATAAATCTCAAGCTTTGTAAAGAGTTGTGGTTTCATTTTTATTGAAAAATTTACTAAATGTTCAAATATTTTGTATTTTAGAATAACATACTTATTTATTTTTTTTAATTACAAAACTTGAGTCGTGTCATTGTTATGTGTGTTGGCAAAATCATGAATTACTTTTTTTAATTGATATATGGACAAAAATCAAGTGATTTCTTTAATTCTCGCCAGTTCGACTGATACGAGACGAATATAACACTTGTTCCCGAAATTAAAAAACTCTTTTGGTTAAACCTTTTTTTCATGTTAAATTTTTGTTTTTTAATTTTTTATTATTCTCCGCAGTGTCATTTTACGCATTTTAGAAATAGTTACATTTATATATTTTAAGTGATCATATATAAATAAAATTAATTTGTATTATAAAAATTCAATGTTCAAAGCTTTTTTATTTATTTTTTTTTCATTTAAAAAGTGCAAATTTTTTTTTTAATACCAATTTTATACAATTTAAAGTTGTAAGTATACTTCACATTCCCCACTCGTGCTTGAGTTGAGCGTCAGTACACTTGAAAAACACAGAAGAACATGTAATTATTTCTAATGAAAAAAAAAAAGGTTTTTTTCATCTCGCAAACAATTAAAAACTAGTGGCACGGAAAATCTTTGACGTGGATTCGCGTTACTTCATCGAAGCACAACAAGTAACTGTTAATGAAAAATTATTCATTTTGTGAAGGTAATGTCATTCGTTCGCTGTGTGTGCAGTAACTAACGGTTCCCGTAACTTGGCGGTCAATGACATTATCAGCATTTAACCCATATAAGTATGCGATTCTCACGCGCGTAACGCGCTCCGCTTGGAATTCACTAGTCTCGATACCTATATGTGCCGGGTACCTCATAACAGAAATATTTTTTAAAAACCAAGTAGAGTTAACAGCTGTACAAAATAATGGTAAGCTCAAGTAGCTCAAAAACATCAGGATTATAATTTTTGTTATTAAGTGTTTAAAGCCTTTTTTTTTTTTATTTAAGAAAAAGTACGAATTAACATTTTTGTTGCATAGCTCAAGTATAATTCTGACGCAACTTGATTGAGTTGTTGAATGAAGCCATAAAAGCATCTGAAATGTAACTACGATCCAATTCATGAAATCCTACCAAATATTCGGCCGCTCTGTGCAGTACCATAAACAGCTATCTGTGACGCTTTCTCGATGACCAACCATGGAATCACATAAGGTTGCACAGGCAATGAGATTCTTTCACAGGAAATTGTGATTGCAGAAACATAATCGGACACAAGGCATCTTTAGTTACACGAAATTATGCACCTCAGAGCACATCCCCATCAAACGTAAAAACAACTGTCTCGGGGAATTGTGTTGAATTTTTTTTCGGTTGCGGCACGATAAGTGCCAATATTCCTTATTGAAGCGCAATAGTAAACGTTGTCGGCTGATAGTAAACAATGCACATTACCTAAATTGCGCGTCAAAGTAGATGATACATGCATACACACCAAAGTTTTATTTCGCGTTATTATTTGGAAGAAACGTTAACATTCCAATGTTTTTTTGCATCAGTCGATACTTATCGTGATTACTTCCATGTTTACCATCGCAAAAAAATTCCAAGTTATCGTTTAAAATAATAAAATATGGGAATATAACGTCGACATCGTTGGGCCTAGAGTTTAAATGACGAAGCATACATCATCTTTGCAACCTTCCATCGCGATAATTATGTGACTCATCGACGCCATCGGTCGCCGGATGAAACCGCCTTAATTCACAATTGTTAGAAACGCGACTATAATTCAGTGTTATTTTCCATTGCCCATACGGCTTTTGCAAGTACATACGCACACAAATACACGTTTAATTTAATTACAAAATTAATTGACCGATATCCGATATTTTTTTTTCTTCCACTTGAAATTCAAATAAATTTAATTTACTTTATCCTGACCGAACGAATTTTGGGAGGGTGTACTTGTTAGTTTTTAGCAACGTGCATTGATTTTTCTCTGTTAACACTTGTCGTTCGTCGTGTTTATACAAAAAAAAAAAAAAAAAAAAAAAAAAAAAAAATCTATCATTGTATCGAGATATATTGTTGTTTTAAAAATAGCTTCTTTCATAAAGTGTTATGCTCCAGCTGAAATTCAATAGCGTAGTATTTTTAGTTAACACTTTTTAAACGTATCCCGTCATCCATATCGCATTCTAAGTCCGTCTAACATTTTTTAAATAAATTTTTAAGAGACGTACTTTTTTTTTTACCTTTTTTTTTTTAAATAAGTACCTCATGGTATTAAAAAGCAACACGGAATCTCGTAAGAATGTAACGGGTCGCGTCGTCATTACCGGAAAAATCCCACCAAGTAAAAGCTCTCTCTCTCTTGTATATTATCTCAGTTCTCAGTGCACCACGTGTATAAGTGCGGGCACAGCTGCGCCAACGCGAACGCGCCCCTCACGATCATCCGATCTTGCGTCATATACACACCGACAACAAAAAACACAATACACAATATTGTCGTATCGCCCTATACCCCCACCCATCTCTACTTATCTGTATTCAGCTTTTCATCCCTACCTCGGCCCGCTTCCCTTTAACTCTTCGCTCGTATGCATGCAGCTTTCGAATCTTCAATCTCCACACTCGTAGAGTCGCGGGCTCACCTTATACTCGTTCTTCTTCGTAAGTATACTTTTACCGAAGTTTCGTAAAGTCAATTAATTAAACTCGTACTGTCATATTTTTTAAAAAATGTATAAACTTTACGGTAAAAATCGTTAATAAGTCGGCTTCGACTGGATTAGAGTGATCAACTTCTATTCGAGTTGTTGTACAGGTGGTGAGCGATCGGTAAAAATAAAAGTTTCATTTTTTCTTTTTTTGTATCTTGTTTCACATCGTTATCGTTAAACGTCAGTGCGCGCCGAAAAATTTTAATTGAATATATTTCAGTGAAAATCGTATCAGTGCGTGTGAGTGTGTATATCAGTCATAACGAGATGAGCTGGCGAGTTGCCGATGTATAAAGCTCTAGCTGCCGGCCACCGAAAAATCGATACCCGCTCTCGCGCAGAGTTTTTTGCAAAAACTTACTGGCTGTAAGGTACGTGACCGCGGAGGCCGTAAGTGCGGATAAGGCGAGGAAAAAAAAAAAAACAAAATTAAGCCGGAAAAGCTGCACCGATCGGCAATAAAATCCAAGGTCGTCTGTCGTTACTGTAATATACAAAAGGTAAGAAGTTTTTAGAATTTTTTTTTTTTTTCCCCAAAAGAAAAGCCCTTCATGTGACTTGGTGTATGTATTTTTTTGTTTGTTTACTTAAAGTATATATTTACAATAAATTGACGATTATATCTTTGAAATTACCGGTAGCAGTTGGAAATGACGATGTAACGATTAGATACACTCGTAAATGTTTTGCTGAGTAAATAAAAATTGCCTGACGGTATGGTATCAGTTTCAAATCTCTGATAGGTTTCAGATTGTTACGTTAAGACTCGGTACGTAAAAATTCAACAATTTTTGAAATGGGAATTATTATTTGTTCGAATTTACATTATTAATGACTGGTAATGGGAATTACGTATTTTGAAGGAGCAATTAATAATAAAGTGAAACTCGTAAGATGACAAAATTACGATCAAAGTATGGAAATAAAAAAATAAAAAAACTCGATAATTGAAATATATCAAGTGATGCACAAGTGATTCCCCGCTACCCGTTATTTTATAGGTGTTGCGACAGCGTTATCTCAAGAAAATACCCAACGCTATATTACTTGAATCGTGTGCGTAGACAAAATTTACTTCAGAGATTAAATGTAATCTCGAAAACTTGACCTACTATTAAAACGTGTAAATGCGCAGCCGTATAGAGACGGAAACTTATCAGACCTGACAAAATACATATGTAAATCTCTCGAGGATAAAAAAAATCGGCTCATCACCGGCGAACATGTACAAAGTCGCGTGATCGTACATTATTATTATTATTATTTTTATTATTATTATTATTATTATTATTATTGTTGTTGTCATCATCGTTGCGCGAGATTCGTCTGCCTTATATTGCATGTATGTATAATATGCATGATTCTTTTGACACGAACGAATATGCACGTTGCAAGTACGTGAGATGTTGTTAATTAAACGCATCGTTTGCGCTGCTGTACGACGATGGTTACAAAGAGAACGGCTCATATGTGTTTGTACTTTCGATCGTCTGGTCCTCGTAGTCGTTGTTGCCATGTATAAAATTTTAATTGAAAGAAAAACTAACAAACGATTTTTGGTAAATTTCTTATTTATCGTTGTTGGTTGAGGTTCATTCATCGACCACACGATTTAGTTGACGATGTAAACCTTTTGTTTTTATTGGTATTCTTGGCTTTCTTGGCATTGTACCCTTACTCATTTTGGACACAATGAAAGTTTTATGACACGTTACAGTGAAAAAGTTGAATTTGGAGTAAATTTATGACAGTAATTAACAGTTGTAGCAAAAACGGACGAAAAAGTTTTCAAATCGACAAATGAACCAGTACTCGTTGTTTTTCTACGCTTGACAGAATATTTACGCGACATTCTTGCTCAATCTGCGTATCTCGGAATTTATTCGTGCAATGAAATTGATTATTACATTAACTTTTTTTTCTTCTATTAAGACTATAAAGTACAGCAATATAACAGCAATATATTGTTGAATAAAACCAACAAAAGTCAGTGTTAAACACCTAGAATATCCATTAAAAAAAAACATTTTACTACCAAAACTATTGCGTGCTTGTCCACTTATTTTGCATGAATAAAAAACAAACCAAACTTTCATTTTTAATTAGAAAAAACAAACACTATATACTTATACTCTGTCTTGCTATCGCGAGACAAGTAATTGGAAAAACTAGAAAAAAAAACAAAAAGCAAAAGTAATCGAAGGCTAAAATACAAGCGGTATACCACGCGTCCATAGTCTTTTGTTTAATGTAGATAAAAACTTTTTTATTTATTTATTTCTTATTTTCAATAAATAGCAAGAAATAGACGATCGAGATATCTAAGCTTGTCACTGTTCAGTTGTACACATTATAGAGTATAATTTTCTCTTGTCACACACACGTCACTTACTCCGAAATACGAAATCGCTATAATACGTATGGGAAGGTAATGATGTATATCTTGTACGAGTGACGCGAGATTTTTTCTTGTTCGCGTCATATGAATGTGTTTCACGTATTTCGAGAAAAGAAGCGACGAAAAAGATAAAAAAAAGTGTAATTCCAACCGTAGACTGCTGCATGCTTATTAATTTTTTGTTATAACGAAGTTCCATCTTACTGCATACACGTTTTTTTTTTCCTTCTGAAAAATTAGCAAACTTTATTTGACTCTTGTGACATTGCGTTGAAAAACTTGATCTTCCTGAGATTCTTTTTTTTTTTTTTTTTTTTTTTTCCACCCAAACACTGTCTGAAATCTTTATTCGCCGGAAATTTCGAAAATCATTTACAAACCGTAAAAAGCCTCTGCCGTAAAATTTACTTCAATTTCAAAATACACTCTTAATAGAGCTTTTAATTATAGGTTTAAGGTCTCGGGCTTACGTTATTCGACGCCAAGCGAAATTCCCGGTGAGACGACAAAGTTTCATCCATAGATGTAACATTTTCATCTTTGCTATAACTCTAGGTATTAAAAACAACAAAAAGAACCGCGTGTTAGTTGATTTTTCTTGATTCATTAAGATTTTGTGCACACTTACTTCAAAAGAAATTCTACCAACATTGATAAATACTTGACACTGTTGTTTCTTCGGTCTTATAGAGGTGTATTCACTTCTTCGCAATTTTCAAACTATATATAATTATATAAATAAAAATCTGCCCGATTGTCTACCGGTTGTATTTTATTGCACTCGTGTTACAGAGTAGTCTGTAGTAGGGGAAGGAGGGGAAATTACAACATATATACATAACACACTGTATGTACATATATATATACAATGTCTTTTCTGATAATATGAAAGGAACGTGGGGTGGGAGGTGGGAGAGGCGCACCCACCATCAGCTGATGATCTGGCAATACAGGAGGCCGTTAGCCGAACAGACTTGTCGCGCCGTCGTAAAGAAATGGAAATAATTGGCCGTGTCGATTAAATAATCTGACTTAATTAAAGCAGTGCTGAAAGTGCAGCGGAGTTTCATGTCATTACGGAAAATACTCTCACTCCTATATTAACCAACGCTCTACAACTGACGAAATATATAACGAGAGAACACGAGAACGTTGCTGAACGTGAGCGAACTCTGCATGTTTGGGTGATCAAGTCGTCCGTATGTCTCTCTTCTTCGGTTGTTCATTTAATAATTTAGTGATCTTTGCAGTGAGTGATGTGTTACCAGTGTAACCATAGGGTGCAAATACAATATATAGGTGTGTGTGATTATTGTTGTTGAGTTAAGTTGGCGTTATTTTTGTTGCTCCGGATTCACATGGAAAGCAGAGTTGTGTGGCGTGGATTATCAAAGGTTGTATAGGTATACTCGACTCGTGACACGACACAGCTTTTCCATAATCCTTTGATATCGAATTCTCCGAAATAAACTCTCTCCAAGTTACTGAACACTTTATGGGTACTTCATTAACGTGATTGTTGTGATTCACCGTGTGCTGGCTTTGTTGCATTTGTAGACGTGTACAATTTTTATTCCATGATAAGATATTTCTGAAAGGCACCGAGTGCTCTTACAGTAAGAGAGCTTTTTTTCAACAAAGTTTCTCGTTGATAAAGACAATATAAATAACAATAATAATTTTTAATATTACCATTGTAATTCTAACAACAATATTTAAAGTGATACAATGGCTTACTGGGTCAGCAAGTTTTTAACTTCCTTCCAACTAACAAGTGTATGTATGCATACTTTCTTGCCTCATGCTATGTGGCTCAGTTTAGTTTTGTGTATACAACTAATGACACTTTTATTTTTTTTTCATGCCTGCATTCTCATGTAAATCCTTTTGGGTTCAATTTTATTTTGATACACATTTGTTTTCATACGCAATTTATTGATTACAGCCAGTGCCCTGATTTGCGTTTTTATTTCCATCAATACACTTGTAGATATCATTACACAACATATTTAAGTATATCAATTACAAAACAGCTTTTAACTTGGTATTTATACTACATTGATAAACACTATTGCAAGAATTGAGTTTATTTCTTTTTTTTTTTTTTAATAATCTATTGCCCAATAATATTTTTATGTCACTTGTAAAAAAAATTGACTTCTCAAATAAGTACTTTGCTGCTGCAATTTTGTTTGAATTTAATTACCTGAAGTGAGCCATAGTTGATTTCTTTATTTAACCTTGACAACCGAATCAACTCGTCCTCAAATGTTTTTAAAAAGTTCAGCATAAAGCACCAAAAAAAAAAAAAAATAAAAAATTCAACTTGAAACTAACAATATTCAATCTTACATCATTTTAATTTTTATTATACTGTTTCACAATTTTATAGCATTTTTTTATGGTATATTAATACACAATAATGTCAGATGTATTAAAAAGTTTTTTTATAACAAATACTTATATTTCCTATTTCAGAGAAGTAAAAATTATACAAAGGAGAGTTATTAACATGTCAGGGAGAAAAAGACACAGTGAAACAATAATGGAATCCTTACATGAAAATGGGACAGATGATCATCAAGGGAAAATTACTTTGTTTTCAACGGAAAATACCACTGTTTCACGGGAAAATACACCACCAATATTCGCTGTAAGTTGTTATTCTTTCCAATCATTAAATTACAATAAATTGACGCAAGTGACTTCCTTCTGATTGCAAACAAATTCATATTTTATCTATTGAGTCATGGTAGGTCCCATCTTAGGTCAAGTGATAATAAATTTCTCTTTATTTGTTTGTTTTAATTCTTTCAACTCGTAAATTAAAAAAAAAATTGATACTTAATTTTGAGACATTCATTAAATGTTGAAAAAATGTAGCTAAGCTTTCGATTAAATACTTAAATAATAATGAATTTTCACTGCTTCTTGATTTTTCAAAATATCGAATTGCAAGTCACATATAACACAAAATTTATTCATTTTTTTAACATCACAACGAGTATGGGCGAGTCTTGGGTCTTTTTTATAATCAAAAACATTTGAAAAGGTGATGAGATAAAGTTTAGACTAAATTTACCGAAATAATCTTATCTGTTGCTAATATTTGTGTACTTTTCTGACTTCTCAAATGTAAATGATTGTTTAATACGATTGAAGGTAGATGTAGGCTTCTTATCTAAATGTGAGCACATGAATGATGCTCAGTATTTTTACTGATAATATAAAGTGGTGTGACAAGACTGGTGATCGAGCTTCTTCTGAGAATCAAGTATATGTCTTGGCAGAGCTAGAGTAGTGTTGATTCATTCAGCCAAGAAGCAACAGCCATAGGAAAATTACGTTAAAGAAGTCTTGTTCAAATTTTAAAGAAAGTGTAATCTAATTTACTTTGTCACTGACAGTTGTATACATTTTTAAACCTTTTATTATGATTTAAACCTTACTTTTGTTAAATATTTTTCAAAACACTAAGTTAAGATGACATATGGAAACATAAAATTATGTGACAACATCGAGAGTCAGGATGAAATAAAATATTATCAACAGTTTAGGAATCCATGCATTAATTATACGTTTGCTGTGAGTGATTGGTGACTGTGACACTGAATAGTTATTAAAAAAATAAATATCTCAATGGTATCAATTAACCATGCATCTGATTGCAGTCCATATGTAAAGAAGCGCCCTTCAGCGATGAAGCAGATGCCATTTCAGAAGCCAACGCGTGTGATTACAGTATAAAAATATCACTTAAAGAGGCAAAGTCGGGGAAATGTATGTAAATCTGTAAAATCCATTGAAAATGTTTAAAAGCATAAATAATTCGTCATATCAATGGTTTTTAGCTCCACGCAGAGTACGAGTTTATGCCGATGGAATTTATGATCTTTTTCACCAAGGTCACGCGAGACAACTCATGCAAGCGAAAAATCTCTTTCCTAACGTATATCTGATCGTTGGAGGTAATTTTATAATTAGCCGATGTTTAACGAATGATGAAGGAGTGGTTAATTTAAAATTAATTACAAATTTTGATTGTTGTAGTATGCAACGATGAATTGACACATAGCAAAAAGGGCCGCACTGTCATGACAGACGCGGAAAGGTACGATGCCGTGCGACATTGCCGATACGTTGATGAAGTTGTCCGAGACGCGCCATGGGAACTAGATGATGAATACATTGAAAGGCACAAAGTAATTTCCATAAGAATCAGTTTTACAGTTTCTAAATACAGAATAAATATTTTATTCTGTTTACTTTGATTAGATTGATTTTGTCGCACACGACGACATACCGTACATGTCCGATGATGGCTCTGATGTTTATGCGAGCCTAAAGGAGAGAGGCATGTTTGTCGCGACACAGAGAACTGAAGGTGTGTCGACGTCTGATATTGTTGCAAGAATCGTCAAAGACTACGATGTTTACGTTAGAAGGAATCTTGCACGAGGTTACAGTGCCAAAGAGCTAAATGTCTCGTTCCTGAACGTAAGTAATAATTTAACATTATTATTTTTAATAAAATACAAATCCAATGTATTTTAAAGATAACTAAATTTTTTACCAAAGTCATTGAATTCTAAGTAATGATAATATACATATTTCTCTAGGAAAAAAAGTTTAGATTACAAAACAAATTTGACGATTTAAAAGACAAAGGAAAAAAAGTTATGGAAAATATTGGTGAGAAGCGAATCGACATGATAAGTAAATGGGAAGAAAAGTCAAGAGACTTTATCGACGCATTCCTTTTACTTTTTGGACGAGAAGGGCGACTGGTGCGTATTTATGGAATGTATGGAATGGTGTTAGCTTTTGTGCTTACTTTTTATCTTTTTATACGTCAACTAAGATTTTAGTCTTTTTGGAATCCATCTAGTGCTTTAGTTTATTTAGCTTTATTTTCCGCTGAATAAGTATACACATTCCAAAAAAAATCTTTGTATAAATGTATGGTTGTTTTTCTACAATAAAAATTTACACTTTTGAGTACAGTACAAACTCTGTCTTTGACTCGTTGTTTTGAATAGTAGAAAAAAATACTTATTGAATAATTTAACACTTTTGATGTGATGTTGTGTTATGTTGTGTTGTGTTTTTTTTTTTTTTTTTTTTTCTACAAACGCATAATAAATGAGCATTTAAGAAAGAAAGTAGTATGTCAGATAAAATAAAGTCATTAATAATTACACGTTATCAACCGTGTTTGCTCATTTCTACTTACTTTTACAGTCCACGATATGGAATGAGGGCAAGGGTCGATTGATGCAAGCTCTTTCGCCTCCTGCCAGCCCAAAGAGGGATGGCAGTCCTAACAGCAGCAGTAGCAACAGCCATCACCATGAAGATGACAACACAAGGTACATCTCAGCACCCAACTCCATTGAGTAGATCTCAGTGATCTTTGCTAAAGCTTTTCATTGAAAAACCCGTAGTACTCTAGTCTTAAAAGACTTTCATGCTTTTTTTACAAGGGTCTATTTCTAGTATGTAGGCAAGATTTTTATTTGGCCGTTGTTAATTCGACATTTTTTGGTTTTACTTAGCTGAATTTAAAACAAACTTCCATTTTATAATTATATATCTTACATATCTATTAAGTGAACCAGAAGTTAATTTTAGAACTTGTCATGTTTTTATCAGATTTACAAATTTTATTTTCTATTTTTTGAATCGAATAAAATTGTTGCTTTTACAATAGAAAAAATTAAAACGTTTTTAAAAAAGAATTTAATCGATTTTAGGCTTTCTTGTTAATTTTTTCTAACAATTTAAACACAATAGACATGATTATTTATTGAGACAAGCAATCATGAGAACGACTACTTGTATTATACGGATGATAGAATGTATTTCTCGTACCTTGTGATTGCACAACTTGTACCACCATCCAGACCAAGAGGAATCCTATCCTGATCAACAAATCACATCCTACTCATCGTCCGTATGAACCTTAGGATTCTTGTATTGCTCGAATCTATTCAAAGTATTTTAGTTGAAAAAAAGAAAACTTTGTTTCTCATTTCAGTCCACCACCGAAAAAGGCTGGGCGCTATGAATTCTCGCACGGTAATCATTACCTCAGCGATGATTACAGCGACGAGGACGATATCCAAAAGTTCTCCAAGTGAACTGCATCAGCAGAGGCCTAAAGCTTTGTCTTTCAAATCTCCTTTTTTTTGAAAACAAATAATTAACTCTGACCAACATGTGTAGCACAACCATTTAAATCTTCGTCATTGTTGACAATTTACAATAATGAAATTTTACGATAAAAACGTTGTTCTTCGAACACATCAATTATTCCTACTGACACCTTTCGAGCATAATTTTTCCTTTTTTCAGGATTTCAAACGAGTCACAGTAATATATAAATGAGAACAACATATACTTAAGAAAAGTACAATTTAAATTTTCGAAATAACATTGAAGAGTTGTGCTCTATGTCATTGGAAGCGTTGAACGGCTTCAACAAAATCTGTTGCTGCATTAGACTAAAGAAAAATAACGTAATAATTACATTTTTTATTTAAGTTTTCTTCTGTTTACAGCGTTTGCTGTAACAATGTAAAAAATGATACGGTATACAGCTCATACTACTACAAAACTACTTATATAACTTAAGTGAATGTTCGTGTCTTGAATATATTTATCTGTAGATAGTTATTATTTTGTACATTGAACATTGAAAAAAAAAAATTTGTCACTTTGATAAGAGTAAAAAGAATAACGAAACCGAGAGCAAATAAAGTAAAGTAATGATTTTTGTTATCTTTTTTTATTATTATTAAAATAATGAAGGTCGCAATTGTAGTTGTAATTTTTTGACTTGTTTGCTATTTTATATGGATGTTTTATAAAGAGTGATTTTCAGAATAGATATTAAATGTAATGTTAAAAAAAAAACAACATTTCACACAAAGAAGATAAAACCATATTTCATACAAAAATTATAAACAATGGGTGAGCATGAATGCGGAACAAGCATGTATCATTGACAGTCGTAATTGACAATGACGATAATTATCTTAGCGATCAATGATCTCATTGGTCAGATGTTACATATGAATAAATTTTTCCATGCATGAGACATTTGCAATGTCGTACGATGGGAGAGCTGAAAGAAATTTGTTATTTTTAAAATTTAAATGAAGTAATCGCTAATATAGTCTATAATGAAAGAGTAAAAGAAAACCAGATTGAATCTCTTTTTTATGAGTGAGAGGGAGAGTGACAGCAAGAGAGTGTTAATTGCAGATAACAACAGAAAATACTATTTATTGCAAATGAATGAACGAAAAAAAAATCAAATATTAAGTACGTTTAGGATAATATTCTTGACTAGCGTATGTCGATACACCAACGCAATGGCCACTGCTATTTTGTAGAGAAAAATTGACAATAGCATACATACAATTAAGAAACTGTTAAAAAATAAGGATATTACCCATTAAAACACCCTAGTTAAAATGTATTAGCTCATCAAGGATAATTTTTCTGTTAACTTGTGGGTTTTAATAGTAATTTGAAAATATGTAATACTTACAATTATACCAAACGTTCATTAAACACAAAATAAATAGATAAATTTTAATGCCAAATCCTGAAAGCAAAGGAACTTGCAGGGAAAGTGGTATGAAGCGTTCTGCAAAGGTGGTGCTACGTGTACATTGCAAACACGATACCATTACATATATGTTTAAGCAAAAAATATAGAAAAGAAAGATTGACATTGACTGCAGTGATGCATATAACTGTGTTATAAAAAGAGTGCCAGCAGCACGTCTTCTTTTCTCTTTTGTAGTTGTTTGAATTATACTTTGTTTTTTTGTTTTATTGAAACGAGGGCAATGATGTGTGAACAACTTTCTCACAAGCAACTGTTTTAGATTTTTTTCAAGAAATTTATTTTAACGAATGCAACTTGCAAATGTATAGAAAAGATGTTGCCTTTGAACCTTCAAGGATGATTACCTTGAAAATTTTGTAAAAAAAAAAAAGGAATGAGCTAATAGATAAATTAAAATGAGATCTGTAGCACGAGTCGAGAGAGGAATGTTCGCCGTGTATGATGTTTGAAAAATTGGTGAAGAAAAAAAATAGGAATCTACGTGGATGTGACAAAGTGACTTTTGCACCCTAGTTTCTTTATTCACTAAGGATAAAGCCAATGGTGCCTCTTGTGATTGGGATGATTGCTATTATAGTACATTTATTGACTTGAGTATTTTTTTTTTTTTTTTTTTCTCATTCAGCGAATGATTCCGAGGCTTCTGCATAAATTGTAAAATGATGAGTCCGAGATAAAAAATAAAGAGCGATCGATTATTGTCATGAACTTGTGTTTCTTTCACTATCCCTTTGATCAAGTACAAGAAAATTTGGTATTTTCTATACACTTTTGGACTTGTTTCAAACACTTATAAAATGAAATTTTACAACAAATTTTTACTTAACACAGTTATTTTTGTTTCAAACAAATTAAATTGTTCTGATGATCTACAAGCGTTATTTTTTTCTTTCACGCGTATAAGTAGTGACTTCCCATATATTTTTATTTTAATTTTTGCCTACTTAATAAATCGTGCACCTATCGCGTAAAACGTAGAACAAAGGAGATTTACAATTAAAGATTTGTGGCGATGCCAACAAATATTTTATGTGTCCTATACTTACTTAACATCTATAATTACACTGCACGTGCACCTTTTTAAATAGATAAAAATATACTTATCTAGTACGTAAGTAAATTATGACTGCTCAAGTCGACATTATTGTTTGTGCAATCAGACAACTATATGAGCTTAGCAATGGTTTATTCATTTTTATGTGTAAGGTACGTATACAACTTTTTTCGAAACATATAAAATTATTTTATAGAACATTGTTGATAGCTCAAAGTTTTCTTCATTATTAAACAATTATTAAAAAATGTTTTATAACTTCTCAACTTAGACATAGATATTTAACACAACATTATTGAAATATTGTGTAAAATTTATACATTTCAGTAACATTTCATTTATTTGTTTATTTTTTTATTTTTTTTTTTAATTGAGAGTGTTGTCAGTAATAATAACAAGCATGGCATTGAAAATCGAAATATTGAAATTCGGACACTGAACTCAACGCAATTGTCTGGTGGTAGTGGTGGTGTGTAAAATCTTTGAAAATTCGGGGGAAGGGGAAATATAGGTTCTATGTTCTATATGTAGTTATGTGTATATGTAGGTTGTACAACTCTGTCAAAAAGCTCAGTGCAGTGCAAGTTGCATTGCCATGTGCATCAATAGTCATCATGCGCGCGTGTCACTTGTGTTTGTTATTCACATCGTTTAGTTTAGTTTAGTCGTCAGTATAACATAGAATAACAAAAATTGCTTGCAAGCATAGAGTTTCCAAATCTCCTAACGGTTTTGCAAAATGCACAGGTGAATAATTGAAAATATCAATGTGACGTTTTATATAGTAATTCAATACTGTATTGTTTTCAAGGTCTGCTCCTATTGTCGAAAAATTTATTTACCATGTAAGAGACAGAAATAATGTCAGGCAATTTTACACAGCTCTAGACAAAAGTCGAACCAAGGAGTACGAAGGGAGAAAACTTATTGGGTATGTATTTTTTTATTTTTCAGAACATTGAAGATTCAGAGCTTGGCTTTGCTTTATAACCTGCTTGTGTGTTTTGTAGATTTTCTATGGAAGAGATATACAGTGTTGTCTCTGATGTGGCTAATTACAAGTATTTTGTGCCATTTTGCAAACAATCGGACGTAATACTTAAGAAACCCGATTTTCTAAAGGCCAATTTAACCATTGGATTTCCACCACTGAAGGAAAGCTATGTATCCAACGTTACAATGATACACCCTCAACTTGTGAAGGCAGAATGTACGGAGGGAAAGCTATTTGATCACCTAAACACTCTGTGGATATTTTCACCTGGATTAAAAAACAATCCACAAACTTGTGTCATAGATTTTTCACTATCCTTTAAATTTAAATCATGGATACACTCTCATCTATCAAATCTATTCTTCAATGAAATTGTGAGACAAATGGAAAATGCATTTCTTGACGAAGCTCACAGAAGATTTGGCAAACCTTGCATAAAAACTGTGAGATTGAAAGGATGACTATCGAAGAATTAGCATGAAGTTTTACTATGTACTCTGTTATTTATTTTGTGATATATATTTATATTAAATATTAATGTCGTGGCAAGGTATGTGCTTCCCATGAGAGATGTTTTAACTTTGTTGACAACTACATTTTGTAATTGATATTTGTACAGTACTGTAAATATACAAAATTTAAATTTGAAATGTTGCCATTTTTTTATTTAACCATCCCAGCAAAATTCATATAATTAACACTTGAAACTGTTCTGTGTTAAGATTTTTTGAACTCCAAACAAGTGGTAAGGGTAAGTATTATGTTCTGCAAACGCTGCCACTAATTAAGACAGATATTTTTGTTTACAATGACAAATAAAGAAAAAAAATTGAAATAATAATGTTTAAGTTAGTTTATTGGCTTTGTATTTTCTTACATATATATGTGCCACAAAATAATATATCAGCAAGTAATTTAAATTTGCGCTCTACGTTACCGTCAGGTCAGTAAGTCAACTCATGGTGACGATGATTGCGGAAAACATCCCAAGCAGCGTTACCACCACGACCTACGTAACTTTACAGCCTCTAATTTTATCATTCAGGTAAAGAGAGAAAAGTGTAATATGTATGTACGTGAAGTTATGTGTAGTAATTATAGTAATCACTACTGTGCCATATGGTCGATTTTATTAATTAACCATATGAATATCTATACTATTGGAGGTAGATTTGCGGGTAAAAAATAAATTGTCGACTTGCCGCAAATAGCCCAAAAAATGTTATCTTTTTATTGTCTATTTGTAAGATTAGTTGCGGCTGGTTTATAATTGATTAAATGGCTCTACTGTAAGTAGTAATAATTATTTGGATCAGCGCCATCTAGCGGTCTTCATTTTTTAGCCAAAAGTGGCCTCTAAAATTCTAAAATAGAGCATTAGGGCTGAGAGCCATTTAGTCAATTATAAACCAGCCGCAACTCATGATAAAGCTGTAAAATGAAAAAATAACGATACGTGTGTTTTTGGCGGCAAGTTAACAATCTATTTTCTACCAAAAAATCGACCTCCTATGTGTTTATACTTTTGAAGATAAATTTTCAAGCATAAGATAGATTGTTAACTTGCCGCCAAAAACACACGTATCGTTAATTTTTCATTTCATAGCTTTATCATGAGTTGCGGCTGGTTTATAATTGACTAAATAGCTCTAATCCTAATTGCTCTGATTGAGAATTTTAGGAGCCACTTTTGGCCGAAAAATAAAGACCGCTAGATGGCGCTGATCCAAAATAATTATTGTTACTTACAGTAAAGTCACTTTATTAGTTATAAACCAGCCGCAACGAACATTATAGATAGATAATAAAAATTTAACATTTTTTGTGCTACTTGCGGCAAATTTACAATTTACCTTTTACCTTAAAATCGACCTCCAAAACCATCAATATTCTACTTATCTTATATGGCTCATAAAATCGACAATATTTACAAAATTACAATACTCTTGACCTTTCACCATTAACTAATGAAAGAACAGCCTTTCAACTTTAGATTTTCAATAAACAGTTAACTTGTATAATATGTACATAGCGAAATTTGTGTTACAGAAATCGTAAATCACGATCAAATATACACGTAAATTAATCAGTCGAAAAGAGACAACTGAAGAGAAAAGGTCTTAAAAAGAAGCAGTCACACGAAGAGTCTCCTATAGGAATGGAGCATCGGATCTCACTAATTGAAAAATACATTCATTACAGAGACGTAAATTTTAAGTGTTATAAGTAAACAAAGAACCCAACCTTCTCTGATCAAGTGAGATCCAGTGGTCCATTCTTATGAGACTTTTCGTGTGACTGTGCTTCTTTTTCAGGCCTTTTTTCTTCGATTGTCTCTTTTGGACTGATTAATTTGTGCTTACATGAGCCATATAATATAAGCAGAATATTGATGGTTTTGGAGGTCGATTTTAAGGTAAAAGGTAAATTGTAAACTTGCCGCAAGTAGCACAAAAAATGTTAACTTTTTATTATCTATCTATAATGTTTGTTGCGGCTGGTTTATAACTAATAAAGTGACTTTACTGTAAGTAACAATAATTATTTGGATCAGCGCCATCTAGCGGTCTTTATTTTTCGGCCAAAAGTGGCTCCTAAAATTCTCAATCAGAGCAATTAGGATTAGAGCTATTTAGTCAATTATAAACCAGCCGCAACTCATGATAAAGCTATGAAATGAAAAATTAACGATACGTGTGTTTTTGGCGGCAAGTTAACAATCTATCTTGTGCTTGAAAATTTATCTTCAAAAGTATAAACACATAGGAGGTCGATTTTTTGGTAGAAAATAGATTGTTAACTTGCCGCCAAAAACACACGTATCGTTATTTTTTCATTTTACAGCTTTATCATGAGTTGCGGCTGGTTTATAATTGACTAAATGGCTCTCAGCCTTAATGCTCTGTTTTAGAATTTTAGAGGCCACTTTTGGCTAAAAAATGAAGACCGCTAGATGGCGCTGATCCAAATAATTATTACTACTTACAGTAGAGCCATTTAATCAATTATAAACCAGCCGCAACTAATCTTACAAATAGACAATAAAAAGATAACATTTTTTGGGCTATTTGCGGCAAGTCGACCATTTATTTTTTACCCGCAAATCTACCTCCAATAGTAAAGATATTCATATGGTTAATTAATAAAATCGACCATATGGCACAGTAGTGATTAGTTATAATTACCACACATAACTTCACGTGCTCTCATTACCAGAATGATAAAATCCAAAGTTAATATATATGTAGAAAGTTATGTTTATATAATATATGTAAGTATTTATTATATTTATCACCAGTATATTTAAACCTCTGTATTTCATTAAAAAATTGTAAATATAAACAGTTACAAGTTTAGGAGGCTTTGTTTAATATACAGTTGGCGGTATTCTTTTAAATGTATTTAGATACTTTATTACTACATAATAAACCATCTGATTAAATAGCATTTGACGTAATCTAAGGAAATACTAAATTTTGCTAAGTGTAGAAGCAAGTACATTCAAGACGAAGTGATCTTCACTTAAATGTGCTTTCAGAATACGACAAAATGCTTCTGAAAAATTTTATTTCATTAATGCCTTCATCAACAGTATGGAACATTGACATGACTAACATGACATAGATGATGCATCAATCATAAGTGTACTCGTTCCAGTGTCGTTTCATTCGGTTCAAAAGTTAAATAACCGAATATTATAAATTATAAATGAGGTTTGGAACTTTTGCCTTTGGATGTATACTTTAAATTCATACTTCGATCGAGTGATATTTATTCGATTGAATTAGGTGAAAATTTTTGATGCATCGTTGGAAGCGGTCGGTCGGTTGCATGAGACGCGGTCGAACGCTGTCATACACAATACTCAGCTATGTGGCCGCGGCCTAAAGTTAACTGACAATACTGACGCTATGTATAAACATCAATATCAGCAATGTTCTAAATATATTAGGCAAGTTTTCCTACATGAGTTTATTTTATTTGTCTTTAAAAATGTTAGAGTTCGCATATTTGCCCAGTGGTATTAAACTTGCGAAACAGTTTTGGAAGAATGTACAACATATTGTGTTTGTATAAGTAAGTAGCATAATTACATTAAATAGTAAGTGCCATTAAGTAGTTACTTGAGTGTATCATGTGTGCGCCATTATTCGTTATCAGAAAAATTATTCGGTTCTCGTAGCCGACCTACATCCGTCCGATAACCTAACCTCTATTCTATAGAGTAAACAAAACCCCATAAATATTACGCGACCTCATTACTTATTCACGCGCATGCTTTTTATGTTTCTGGTTTGGTTAGTTAGTTGAAGAATAATTTAGTTAGTTAAAGAATTTCTGACGTGTAAATAAAGGGTCGTTGGTAGAAGCTCAAAATTTTAAACCGTTAGTGAGCAAACAGAGACGTACCCTTTGCTTGATTCATTTTTAAAGTTCCATACAGCTTCTTAATTTTCTTACAGACGTTACTACCACTGCGGCAAGTTACATTCCGATTGCCGAGTTTGTTGCTTAACAACATCCCCGAGAGTCGGAACGTGCTCAAGTTGGTTATTTTCTTGATCTTTCATTGAAGTTTCATTATATTTTAATACTTCCCCTGTTGGTTATCATTTTATTAAAAATTCTTTTGTACATTTAGATGATGACATACGTCAGAATAATTTGATGATCTGTAAAAGTGTCTGAGACTTAACTAAACAGTCAAGACTTTTGAATAAAATTTTCATTTTCATTTCAACTCAATTTTTTCTTGAATACATTACTAAAAAATTTGTAATGAAAACAAAAAATTTTATTTTGAGTGTAAAAGAAATAGTTGACAATTTATGTTTTGAAGCTAGTTTTGCCAGATAGTTACTTGGTAGTATTTTTAATTTGCCAGGATCTAATGTAATGTATTTCAAACAACTGAATTTTTTTGTGTTACAGATATAGTTATAAAAGTATTCAGATAAAGAAAGTTGCTCTTGAAGTAAGAGTTCAGATGCATACAAAAATTATATTTGAAAGAATATTTTTTTCTTATGTCTCTATAAAAACTGACTCTATGGTTTCATGTCAACTGAATCAGACTTCACAAAAAGGTTTGTACTTTCATTACAACTGCAATATGCTTATTTAATGTTGTATATGCTACCATGTTGATTTTTAAAGTTTAAGTTAATGAGGTCAACCAAAAAGTAGTTTGCCTTTCTCCTTCCACATACAGGTGTGGTAAAACTTATTAAGTTAATATATTTTCCTCGGTTTCTATTAAGTGTCGCTTATGTTAGATAAATGCACGGATTTTTTAAGTATTGTCAAGTAGTCATAGTAACAAGGTTAAATTAACACTATTTTTAATTTAACTACATTTCATACTTTCCAATTTCAATACATACCAATCAACTGAAAAGTATATGCAATTAGTTGAGGAAAAAAAGAACCGCTTTAAGTTGTTTTTTGCAGCTTCAATGCAGTATAATACTTGTAGGTGATACTCATGCATATCTTTGTATGAAATTCTCCATTCTTCTACAGGGTATTTCCCAACATAATTTTCATGAAAACACGTAGTGACTCTCAAGTATGTGTTGTTTTACACATTACGCAAATGAAACTAATAAAAGGTTAAAAATTTGCTGAAATAATTCTTATTTTAAGGTGGTCATGCAATATTTATACTAGTGGGTTAAAGAATGATGTTAGGTACGTTACATCCATCAAAAGTTGTAGCGACAAAAACAATATTTTTTCGAACCAAGTCGAAGTACAAAAGCACTACTGAAGGTCAGGCTGTACAAACCAAAAATAATAATCTACTAGAGCGATTTTGTACTACGTCATAACATAAACAAGATTAATTATTCGTTACGATATAAAATAGTTCCTAATCTTAAAAATCCAACAAAAATTACTTTCAATGCAAAGTAAACTAAGTGTCCGTAATTTAAGGGCTGTTTGTACCATACTTGTTAAAAGTATTTGAATCTTATGAGGTACTATCAAATACGTAGGTGTTGGAGCACCGTTCGTCTAAACTATTTTTTTTTCTTTCATAAAAGAAATCACAGCTAGTGATGTAAGAGAAAGACTGTTGTTAATGTCAATGTCACTATTTTTAATTTTTTTAAAAGAAATCTACAATAGAGCAAAGGTTTTTTTGTTAAATTGTACTTTGTTTTTTTATTCTTATAGGTTTTTCCATTGATTATGATTAACTAAAATACTACTTATCATATCATCATAACTTGCTGAGAAAAATCTATTTTTTGCTCTATAGAAGCCTATGGTTAATTTAGTTATCTAAATTACAAACTAGCAGTAGTTATAATCTACTACTCACAGCCTACAAGGATTGAAAGGAAAACTTACAGAAAATCCCCAAATTCGGAAAAAGTTGAAATTATTTTTGGGCCTAGAACGCGACACACCGAAAAACTTGAAAAGGCTTTAAAAGAGTGAGTCACTCCGTTTTTATTTGACGTTTACAAATTTTCCCACATTCTAAGGCTGTACGTAAAAACTAAAAGCTCTCATACTACACATGTGCCGCGATAACTTTTTAATTTTTTTTAATTTTTTTATTGTCGCAGATCACCTGACTGGGACATTAAAATTAAAAATTGTAAAAATTGTAATTTTTTTTCTAT